GAGCATATAGTGTAATGTACTGATGTTCCGCTGTATTCTTGTACATGCACACAAACTAGTTATGTCTACCTTGTTAGTTACTGTGATTAGACTCTCTGATGTGAACAGAGAAACAAAGAAGCCATTACAGGCAGCGTAAGTTAGTTTTGGGGACTTTATCTCACCTAATTCAAAGTTCGTAAGATAGTAACACTTAGTTTTTTCCTTACGTTATTCTATAAACCATGAGCTTCTGTTTGAGGTAAGATCTGCTATACTCTTCTCTCTTCCTAAGCAATTGCATTTTTTGTAATTTGTACTCTGTTTTTCTGCCTTAAAGTGCATTTTGGACACAATCGTATTCTTCTAGCTGTTTGTGAGTTGTAGTGTGCGTTGTGTTGATCATCTACCTACTCATATATCTTTTCACACTAATCTGAATTGGGAATGGGAACAAACTGAGTACAGTCCCAGTTCACTTGTATTTTCACTTGCTTGCCAGAATAGGTTTCGTTTCTCTGCCAAGGTCGCTGGTCTCAGATCGGACTCACGCATTTCTAGCTTCAAGTTTGAGTCAGTTAACCTATCAACTTAGGTCGAAATAAGTTCTCTCCTGTATATTATTCTGTAGACAGCTCAATAACCTAAGAGTTTCCTGTCGTAATTCGCTCTGAGCGAGTACAATCCAAACTTGACGGGTAAATGTTGTATTGCGAAGTAGTAAATTCTTGGCAAATGAGTGATCATTGATCGCTTTGTGGAGACCTCAAGATTCCAGAGTGGTATGGAAGTCATGCTAGAGAGGTTTCTAAACGATTAGCAAAAACGTAAGGATGAACCGAATGGAATCGAGCTTCTGGATCACATACTTTAGATTAAATAGGACATGCTGTGAGTTCAGACAGGAATACGTCAATAAAAATCAAGAAAGAAAATGTAGTTGCAAACAGTTCTCAAAGTAAAACTGACAGTAAGCACTCGAGACTGATGATTGCCATGTTAGTTTTACAAGATAGTATATGTTCCAGTGGATCTGTTACGCATGAATCTCACTGTCCCACTTACTTCCCCAATTTTTGTTTCCGCCCTAGCTATGTATATAACAACTTGATGTTTTAACACGAAATTGACTTCGAGTCAATGTGGGAAAAACCAAGAATTCATGTGGAAATCAATGTGTTCTGCGTTCAGTCCAACCATACCCTAGAACATGCTTCCAACAAGAAGCATTTCTCTGTACTTAGTGCTGGATACGGTGTTTGCCGGATTCCAAGATTTAGTATTTGTAAACGTTCCTCCTTCATTATGCATACTTATGTCCCTTTGTCAAGTAAGATAGTGGTTTCGACTTCACGAAAACTGCCTCCAATTTTGACAGGGCACGCAGATTTAGCATAATATGAAGACAAATAATTCTAGAACTGGTTGTGCTAGTACTTCCTGACTTTCCAGGCAGTGTCGGCAATAGAAGCATTCCGTTTTTCGGCCCTTTAGAACTGATTCGAAAAGATCGTCTATATAGCGCGAGGGGCATTTTCTCAAGTCTTTTACTTCGGTTCGACGAATGTCTGACTACTGAGACACTTTGAGTTTGTTCGACTGATAAGATTTCACAGCTCCTACTGTGGAAATTACTGATGGCCGGTGTGCACATGAAAAATTTGATAACATTTTGGCCGCCATAAACCAGATTGCCGTTGTTTTTAGGTCTAACTTGCTAACTAGCGGTATTTGATGGTGCTGTTGGAGCCCACCCAGTAAGATCCTTTCAACAAACCACGAACGTATCAGCTCTTTTCATCCACTAATGTCTATATGAAAGTGTGTGAACAGCCAACTTTTGTAATGTATAAAAATACTAAACAGGATACTCCTCACGTTGTTGATGGCATGATAGAATTTGAATAGCACTGTGTTGAGTATTTAGTGGCATGGAAAACAGTCGTCCAGAACCTCCTAATAACAGGATGATGGATTTTCTGCCGCGAATCCACTGGCTGTTGAACACTGAGCTGTTTCGTTATTTAAGCACGATAAGGAAATATTGTAATGTTCTTCTGTCAGTATCTTGCGTAAGTACAACCTTATGTTCAATTTCCAGATAGAGCGATCTGATGTGGTTTCAGACAATTGTGGTTTACGGAGCGTCATGAAAATCTTTGTTGCCCTGACCTGAAACACCAGTGGTTAGTCATAATTTTTGTCATGAGTTACTGCTGACACCTTCACCACCACTTGTAACACGTGCCATCGATGTTTATTTGGAAGCAGGTGAGACTAAAACAACAACATGCAAACCAGGATCAGCGAATGTATGATAAGGAAAAACACATGGTGTTAGCAACAACGCATATATATTTCAAAAATCAAATGACGCTGTTCCGTTACAATAGGGAGGTCTTATTTACGAAATAGTCTAAAATATCATTTTGCAAGCCCAGTCTACGGGGGGATTGTTCTTCAACATCCAGCACTTTTACCCTTTGTGATCCTACAATATAAAAAACCAGACTCACATTGATAACATTACATACAATGACTCTTAGTACTGCTATACATATGAAGTTTGTAATGGACGTACAAATAAGTACAAAAAAACCATTGGTTAGTACAAACACTACATAAATACCCAAAGCTAAAACAGACGTGCAGTCAATGACAACTAGACAACCAGGGAGTTCGGGTCTCGAATTAGTTTTTAAAATGAATGTGATGAACGATACAAGAACTAATAATTTCAAGCAACTAGGTTGAATCGAATGGACTGAGACTTCATAGCACTCTGTGCTCAACTCTTTAAAGTTCGTATGTTCTTCAAAAATTCAAGCTCTTGCTGAAGCGGAGCATTCTTTTGTTGGGTGAGAACTTTTATTCATCCAGCTACGAAGCTTTTCCGACATGTCATTTTCCAGATATTGTTGAACTGCTATTCAGGCAGGATGACCCTTCACCCATATGCCTTTACACATACGAAGAGATTATCTAACCCGAATAATGTATCTTATTTGATAACTTACGATAACAACTTATTTCTGACACAGACTGTTAATTTCATTTTACATGTACCATCAATAACCTATAACATGAGTACGTCCAATCAGTGAACAAATGAAATGCGACTGATAGTTTTCGATAATCTCATCGCTTCAAGCTGTCCTCTCTGTGTTAATACATCTCCTATTCAACCAACGTTATATTAGGTAAACCCATAGCAAGATTGTTCCGTGGGATTAATTATAAGTTGTAGATATCTAATGCTGCTGTATCTAGGTAAGTTTTATTTAGGTAATCACTCATTTATCATTGTATTAACTTTGTGATCAAACATTTGTCTACATCGACCACCTCATCATGATTTATGTACACATGAGTGGTTCATTAAATGTTGAGTGATAATAAGTTTTAGTAAATGATAATTCACCAATTTTTTTAAAAAAGATGAATGCACACTAGACTTGTATACGCTTAAATGCTATTAAAAGATGATTTGAGTTACTTTCCCATTCTGTATTGATCATAAATTCAGCTTGCATGACCTTAATTAAAGCTTTTTGCTGACAGTGAAGGAATAAGTCCTAAGTGAACTATCAGGAATTTGTTTCAACGCGAAATGGATACAATTTGTTCCGCGGACTTAATGAATGAAAGCAAACTGTTTCCGGTGTATTATTCCTTTTATGATTTGCATCCGAATCAACTTTTGACCGTCTTGCGTTCATAAGCATATTATTTATAGAAACCTAGAGCTTGTTGTAGCTGTGTAGAATAAGGTCATATGACCTGGTAAGCATTCAGAAGACATGTATATTTAGTAGTTCCTTATTAATTTATTCAGTTGAGCATATAGCTTTAACACTCTTACTTTTGTTGCTTGTTGGCTAAATGTTGAAGATACCACAGGTATTGTGGTTTGACAACACCTTGCCGGTAACAACTTCTATAATTGAATCGCGCCCACCCAGTGAAATCAAAAATCATAAGCGAGGAGGTTGGAAGATATATTTGATAGATTATCAATATATCGAGGAGTGACTGATCTAATTTGGTTAGTGATCGGAGACGTTGAGCATGCCGTTCCAAACCGTGATCTGGTGCGGATGCATGACTGAGCGCCTTCAGCTAAGTGAGTCCATTAAAACTAGTTTGGTCAGCATCCAATGTCGGACACTTACAGAGCTATTGATTTTGGGGATTCATTTACAGCTACAATGTTAATTGCCTTTTTGAAGTATTCCACAAATATCTAACGGAAGCAATAAATTGATACACAGGTTTGATAAACGTAGCTTTATGTCCTGATAACACAAGAATAATGTCCTGCCACAAAAAAGGCAATTTTGTCACCAGCCGAATAGTTCCAAACTCAGTCCCTCGCCGCGAGAGCAATAAAGTTTCTTAATAATTTGCGGCAAATCATCTATTCCATCAAGAATTGTTCTGTTAGCTCAATCAAGAAGTTTGTCGACCATTACGGTATTCGCCGAAGTTCAAAATGCTCAGTAAAACAAAAGCAGAACGTTGATCAAAAGCCCCAACGACATGATCAGACTTCAGAAACGGTAGTCAGCATGATGATAATTGTGGATATTCAGAAAGAGAAAGAACATATGAACAGATACAAAAAACAATCGAAGAAAAAACAGCCACAAACAAGGGACTGGTCATCAGAAAAAAATATGCAGAGCGATTTTCTCGCAACCGTCTCAAGAACAAAGAAGTAGATTCTTCACCTTCTATCAATGATACTGCAATAAATTCTTGTCATACTGATGTAGTTCATAACTTTGGACTAATTTACATCTGTGTCAGAATGTATGTCCGTCAATGCTAGCTAAATATATAGTTGATAACTCATATCTGTAGATAAAATATGATCCACACTGAACTCGGATGTAAACGGTCACTTGTTACGCTTCAGGTAGCATATTCACATGCACAACTAAGTGTCTTCACAAGTGATGGCTCTTTTGTAAATTCATTTTTTAGACGTTTTCAAACTACTCTGTGGAGATTATTCTTTAATGCCTTATGATGAAGGCTGTAATGGAAGTGTATCGCATGTAATTTTGCTAGCTGGCATATTATGATATGTCAGAAGACTTGGCTTACTGGCACTGTCAATTTTTGTTCTGAAGTACTAAAATCCCCAAGTTCGATTTTATAAAATTCAACGTTATGTTCATATTTCTTAATCTGGCTTCCGATAATATTGTTTTTTCACTATTAACTCTTTTTTTGTGATCAATAAATCACTGTATCCAGTTCAATCGCTTATTCCGTCTCAATAATCAGTGCTGAGTATCAAATAGTAATTTATGTACTACGGACTCGTTAAAGTAGACAAATCGTCAGCAGTCAGTCAATGGACGTGGCATATTGCCGAGTGACACTAGTTAAGTGAGTTGGAGTACAGCAACCTAATCTTTGTCTAAAAAACTGAATTTTCGTCGATTTCTCAGTCACAGTTTTGTTAGCGGCTGTCCATGAGGGATCCATTTATAAATTTGAAGATAATACTTATGATAGTAAATGGGACTTCAGTGGCGAACTAGTTTTACCCACTTTGTTTCAAAGTAATAGTCCGTCAGTGTCCATATCGTAGCTAGTTACGTTTCGGTTATCGTGATAAAAATCCCTCGCACTCGTCCTCAGTTTCGGGAAGACTAAACAGCGGTGATATCCATAAAATCTGATACTTCCACCTGATCACAAAAAACATGCACTGAAGGAATTGTAAGTACCCTTTAAATAAAAAAGAGTTTAACGTCATAGTTCCCGCAACATCATACTGCCTTACTAAGTTATTTATTATTCTTCAGGCAAGTTAACATGTTCCAAGGACCGGCTGAAAAAAAAGAATATCATAAAAATATAGCATATCATCAATATCTTTTAATACATTTGCACACTAACGACTTCACAGTTGTGGGATTTATTTATACTGATTTGATGTAGGAGGCATACTGTAACTTATAGAGTTTAAAAACAACTTGATCCTTAAATTTACTTCGTTCGGAAATGACCCTGATCAATAAAATATTTTAGAATATTAAAGATTCCCATTGTGAAAATTAGAACAACATACGTAAGCGAACAATTGTTTTCTCACACAATTGTTCGCTTACATATGTTGTTCTAAAAAAATATTTCACTTCTCGTACAGCTTATATCTTGTACACCCATATTATAACACACCAAGCATATTACTCTTTATTATTTCCCCTTGTTCTTTATATGATACTGTAGGGTCACTGAATATCGAACAGATCACTGATCCCTGTCAAGGTCAAGGATAGTCAACGTGCACAAACCAATCGAACGCCATGGACTGGCCGACGCTGCAGTGGTTATTCTTTCACTTCTGTACTTCCATAGTTGTACCTTAACTAATATATTCTTGTAATAACGTCCTTTGTGTTGTACAGTCTCCATAGCATCCACTATCTTTTGATGCGTCGATGGTTCAATCCACGTAAGGGCTGGTCGCGAGGTGTGACTTCAGCGTTAGTTGGTTCGTCACCATTCTCGTCTAACTCTAGTAGGCCCCCAATCATTTTGACATAGATCATCAACGTAGATGGTCTACAATACTAAGGATTTACATTCCTGAGTTAAAAACAACACTCTCAAAAATGTCGCGTTCAAGCAAATACGGGATCTCAAAACGTCTTTTAAAGGAAAATTTGCCCATACAACTGTGATAATGCAATCAGTAGACGCCCAACTTCGAGATCAACAGGCTGGATTCCGTAAGGATCGGCTGTGCACAGACCAAATCGCTACACTGCGGATCATCGCTGAGCAATCAATTGGATGGAATTCGTCACTACACATCAACTTCATTGACCATGAGAAAGCGTTTGACAAGGCTGTCTACTCTCCCCCTTCCTCTTTTTTCTTATAGTTGACTAGATTATGAAGACCTCCACATCTGACAGGAGGCACGGAATACAATAAACAGGTTGGATGCAACTAGACGACTCGGAATTGGAAGATGATCTAGCTCTTCTATCCCATACACACCAACCAATGCAGATGAAGACAATTAGTATAGCAGCGAGCTCTGCATCAGTAGGTGTCAACATGCACAAGAGAAAAAGCAAGATCCCTAAATATGACATGGAGAACACCAACTCAATCTCACTCGATGGAGAAGCTATTAATAATGTGAAATCTTTCACGTACCTGGTCAGCATCGATGAAAAATGATGATCTGATGCGGACGTAGAGGTGAGGATTTACGAAGCAAGGACAGCATTGTCGCAGTTGAAGAACATATGGAACTCAAAACAACTGTCAAACAACATCTAAGTCAAATTCTTCATTATGAACGTCGATACAGTCCTGCTATATGGAGCCGAAACTTGGAGAACTGCTCCGACCGTCAGCAAAATGTACAAGTATTTATAAACTATCGTCTACACAAGATATTCGATGTCCGTTGTTCGGAAACCATCAGCGACAGCCTTCTGTGGGAGAGAACAAACGGCCTAACAGTCGAATAGGAAATTAGGAAAGTACGTTGGGAGTGGATACGACACACTGAGGAAATCGTCGGACTCTATCAAGAAGAAAGCGCTAATATGGTATCCTGAAGGGGAAAGGAAAAGAGGAAGGTTCAAGAACACACGCAACTGAAAAGAATTGCAAAGGGTTGTCTAGAACGGAGTTGGATAAAGAATGCTCGTGAGTGGCCTAATCCCATCGACAACGGGTAACAGACGTAAGTAGGTGGTCACTGATAAATCAAAGCAAACACTGTACAGATTATTTAAAAAGCACCGAAAAAGATGAGAAGATAGAGATAGCTGCGGGAATAGGAATTATAGTAAACTTGATCTCAATCGCAAATGTCTTGTTTTAATACTTAACGAAACTGGCGGCAGAGTCCATCTAGTTTCAATTCCCCTGTAAGTGAATGCAATTCCCGTTTGAGGCTCTGTAGTCTGGTCCTAATTTACTCGTAGTGGCCTTCTTTTTCATTTTCAGTGTTTCTTTTTTAGGCGTGGTTTGGGATCAAAGTTATTCGCCCTTTAATATCAACATTCTGGACAAAGCTGGAAGGACTGCTTGCTTAGAGACAGTCGGTCGGAATAACAAGTCTTCAGATAGTTACTTTATCTCTAATAAATCAGAAGTTTTACGTGAGCCTCACACATTGAGATGGACAGCTGGCGTCACGCTGGCTTCAAAGTCAAGCCATACCGATTCTATTCGTAAGGAGGTTTTGTTGTAAGTTTGTTCCGTTTATATAATTTCGAATTAGCATTCTTAATAAGCTTACTGCTGAAAATTTCGAACAACAAGGTGACAAACTTCTTAGCTTAGATATCACTTCAACTTCCCTTCATGTCATTGCTCAATTAGTAAGCTTATTGCTAACACTTACCGATCATTTTAGATTTATCAAAAAGCCATCAATGAACCAAAATTTACTTCTTTGTACGCCCAATTGTGTTTAAAACTATGCAGTAGTGTCCCTAATTTCGAGGCAGGGGGTTCTCAATCGGTAATAAGCTTAAAATTGTTAACCTCCCTTCAGACTTTTCAGATATTCCTAATTAAGTGTTGTGAAGATGAGTTCAAAGCCAGAGATGTTTGTGATGACCAGATTTCACGTCAGAAGTGTTTGGGGAATCTACGCTTCATCGCTGAACTTGGGATTTATGGTGTTGTGTCGGAAAAAGTTCTTCATAACTGTGTTCAGGAACTTCTTTCCAGGAAAGGTCAACCTTACTCAGTCAATGATTCGGAGGTACATACATCTGCGCAGGAAAAAGACAGAACAGGCAAGTTAACTTTTACAGTAAAGAGTAGAATTTTCGTAGCTATGGGGTCAGGTCAGTGGGACATGGATTGGATTAAAGCATGTTCCATTCACGATTGAGTTGGTGCATGCTAATTGGCTAATTCCTATCCATTCTGCGTTAGTCGACACTTGAAGGAGACTCCAGGACCTTCTCATGCAAAAACTATAAATATACTAACGTATTTCTTACTGTTTCTTAGTTCAACTACCCTTTATTATCCGGAAAGTTATTCTGTTGCTGTTCAATCATGTTCTGATTTGGGGACTTATCGAGTGATGTCCAAGAATACTAAGCAATAGGAATAACTGGTTCGTAACAAGAAAAGTTATAACAGTCAAGAAATAAGTCTTGTTCAATGAACACTGAAATCTCAATCCGATTGATTCAGGCATATGTATATTGTCAACAGCTGTTCCGGGCTGCGTACAAAAGCCTGCGGGCGCTCACCAATTTCCTGTTGATCTTGCTTTGAGCTATCATGCCTAAACCGTTGTTCACCCGTTCGCTTAGTACTTTGAAGCTACTTGTTTATTTCTGTCCTCTTAAAAGGAAGTAATAGGAATTGCTGTCATTTTACGACATAACTGTTTGTTGTTCTAAACAGAACAGTCTGAGTAGGTTAGTGGACACCTATTTTAGGTTGGTTTGCTGATGACTTCCTCTAGGTTTGACGATTTTATGAGACAGATGATTATTCATTTCCCTATTCTTCAGTTTAGGTAAGGTGAAAGAAGTAACCTTCCTCACTAAAATTATAAGTACTGGGATCAAAGACTGCTGTCCTTGAGTTGGATATCTTTGGTTATGATTAGTCCCTGCAGTAAATTTAGCTCGTTCATATTTGTTGAGATTCATAGACGTTCAGTGGAATACTTGGCAGGTTTCGAACCGCCCACTTTTATGAATAGTTAAGTATTTGTAAGTTGATCCAGACCATTTGAACACTACTAGTAAAGCACCGGCTTAGTGACTAAATCGCTTGAATTCTAATCAGTAGGTCATATGTTTAGACTTCATACTGCTTTAGGCAACCAGGTAATCCCATTGACCCTCACAATATGCGCTAAATACAGGCATGTACTCGGTAAATAAGTTACATCATTTTTACAATGTTGTTTTGGTTATCGTCTCATTTTAGTTTCCACTAAGTCAACCCTCATTATAGGATTTTCATGCAGTTGTGTAAATGATTTTTGCAGCCCATACAATTCGGGAGCGCTCTCTGTCCGCCGACTTGGAATGTCTTTGTCAGTTCTTGACTGCTGTTGGGAAGCACATGGACACACCGAAAGCAAAAAACTTAATGGATCAATATTTTCATCGATTGCGTCGTATATTATCACGCGCCTACGAATCAAATGGATTAACATCCAACAAAAATGAGAGTATGTCTACGGAAGGAAAAATCTTTAAGTCGTCTTCGAAAGCGAATGACAACTGTATCTTATCTTCTAGAGTGCGGTTCATGGTCGAAGATTTGATAGACCTAAGGGAAAACAATTGGATTCCACGTCGAGCTGGTCAGCGTACAGAAACAAACAAGCCACGTTTCCTTCGAGATATTCGCTTGGAGATATTAAAAGTAAGATTTTGCTGAATGTTTCATGTTAACGTGAATTTTACTTTTAAAAATCCGTTCATTAAAGTATTTTCTTGCCATTAAGTTTGTCTTAACGTGGATTAAAAGTTATTTTTTATGCTAATCACCACATCCAATGTTTGTTAAATTTTGTAGTGGTTCTGTCAGTTTAACTAGCCGACATTTTGTTAGTAAGTATCAATACTCCACAAAAAATGAAAACAGAGAGACGAAGCGAAACCTCATGACATTTGGTTTTAGTAGTTTGCTAAATTCACTTCATTGAGGATCCAGCAAATAAATTGGAATTGTCTGAAGCCTGTTAAGAATAAGTTAAATGCAGTCTATGTTCTTTAATTTTTGCGTAAACGTTATGTGTAGTTTACTTACAGGATACATTGTTTTTTGCAAATGATGGAGTTGCTTGGAATTATCTAAATACATATAAAAAAATCATTTCTGCAACCCAATTAATTCGCGTTAGTTGGTAGAAGGAGGTAAATGCTTCTTTGTACTAAGGTTAATGCGGATGCTAATAATCCATTGGTTCTCAATTCTATGGATTGTATTACATTTGAACAACATAACAAACTGGTTTTATTCCCTTCTAAAAGGTCACTTATTATCTTAACGTAACTAAATTCTGTTTTCTATTTCCGCCAGATTGTTTTTAATACCACTTTACTTTTTAGGAATCTGGAGTCCTTGTTGCCCCAACTCCAAGTGAACGCTCTGTCACACAACCAGATGTGCCTGGGAGTGCTTTTATGGGTCACTCATCAGCTTCAAGTAACTCTTCAGTGAATGGTGAATTTCCTTTCGTCGGTGGTCTGAGCTCTAGTTCATCGAAAAATAATGGTGGACTTAATACTGGTGAAGCTAAAAGTTGGATGGAGTTGGCGCGAATGGGTGAAGAACTCTGTCGTCAAAGTCCTCGTGATTTCTGTTTGTTAGATAACAGAAATCGTATTGGAGAGAGCCCCATTAGTCAATATCACGGACGTCCACAGGCTGGTATTGCCACATCTAATCGACGCTTTTTGTCTAGCAAAAATGATTTATCCCATTCAAACAATATTCCTCACCAAGGCTCAAAACCAAACAACACTGACAGCTGGACCAAAAAAACGGAGAAAATTGAAGTCAGTAGCGATGTAGGGTGGGTACGAGGTGTCAACCCAAAACTACGGAACTCCGTTATTACTCTGAGTAACGGCATATCAACAACTAATTCTAATTTACCTCCTCGAATGCTAAGAAAACTGGCCGCGGAAGCTGCTGGAAATTCACAAGTTAATTCTACATCAAACGCTTTTAACGAAACAAAACAGCCTGCCATTTCGGAAGTACAGAGTTTCCATGCAAAATCTACTGATAATATAACATCCATTTCCAAAGTCAGTCCATCCTGCACTACGTCTTTTATCCATTTGATTGGGCAAGTCAGCTCCTCTGATCCTTTTGAGGTAAATCTCGTTAGTCGTTGTCTCATTAGTTCTGAAACTAAACGTCGTTTTTGGAAGTAATTCTGTTTTACTCAGAATCTTACTGTAGTCTAAGGATTTAACCCTTCATTCTGTTCCATTGGTTCAAATAATTGGTATTAGTATTTAGTATCTCAGGTCTACTATATTGTCCAATTTTGTTTTTGGTATTATTGCTTCATTGGCGTATCGTCTTAACATCTAGTCAAGATATCTGTGGGTTAGTATACTTGATCAAATAATTTATGAAATGAGAGCCGAAATCCCTGTATGTCCTAATCAGTCACTGTTCATGAGAGTCAATAAGCACACCACTGAGCTTGGTTTTATGAACTTTGTCAAAAATAACTATATGAAACCGACAAGAGGCGTTTGTTACTGTAGTAAAAACCACCACATTTTTAATCTCAGTAAAATACAGTAATTTCTAAGTTATGTGAAGCCTAACTTTCCTGGCTACAAACTTAGTCCAGTTCCTAGTATGTGTATACAATCAAACTGTAAGTTTAATAGTAACTCTACACTAGTGATCCTCTTTTTACATTTACATCTATTTACTTTGATGGTACATAAATATCGTATTCTACTTAGTAGCATTCAATAATGATACCATTTTATCTCTGGTTGGTTTTGTACTTAGTTTGGTGTCCCAACCCATCTAGTAAGCAAGTGTAACTGACCTTCATTTGTTTTTTTTTCGAAGCCTGCATACTTGCAAAAAGAAAGGTTATCGGTCAATGGCGGAGATGTAGTCAGTACCCAAAAACCTGTTTGGTCTTATCCTAAATGTGTTCCAAACACGGCGATTTATGGTAGTTCAAATCCAACTCTTCCGTCTAAACCACAATCTGCTATTTCACGTCCTCCACACTTTATAAACCAGCCGAATTTCCCGGATATTCAAGCATTAGCAGTTCAGAAACCATGTAATCGTAAAGTTGACCAGGCTAGGTTATCTCATTCGAACAACATGGTCCAGCCATCAAATAATCTTGCTGAAAACAATTACAATACCGCACCCGCTGTTGATGAAAACAAGAAAATCGCCCTTAGATTAGTGAGTTTTCGTAGTCTTACTTTCTATTGTAATGTCAACCTCCAATATTCGAATATTGCATGTGTAGCCTTATTTACGAATGCAGTATACAGCATTTCGGATAACCAAAACCAACCATTAATCTCCACAGACCATTGAAGGGTTGGATTGTCGGACCTGAGGTCTATGGGAAGGATTGAGTTAGATAGCTGAAAGATCGTTCCAAGACTGGGTTTCACTTGACAGCTACTTCTGCAGTGTCAGAATGGATAGCACTTTAAAAATATAAAATGATGGATATTATAGAACAAGTGTTTAATAATGCGAGTTTTGTATTGATAAAACGAGGAATGCAGACGAGTAAATGAAATAAAGTGCTATTGCTGAGTGCTAATCGTTCACAAGAATGAATTATTTAATTATGTCCCCGGTTGTTTGGATATCAGGAAACGTGATCACTAACTAAAGAGTTTTATTAAAATAAAGTAACATAAAGAAACTATTAAAAAAGACTACTCACCTTTCAGTCAGTTAAAACCTGACTACTAGGGGTAATTCTTGCACATCATATCAGTTGTACTCAGTCTTTGTTTATACTATCACTGAACGAAATCCGAAGCTATTTTCCCTATTTTATAAAGTCAAACACTCAAACGTAGTAACTGTAGTAGGTGATTTCAATGTTCAGCGAGGTAACCAACTTAAAATACAAACATTTATTTAAACTATATTATCATTTGGCGAAGTACTTTTATAACTTGTCTGTTCACTTTTTAGATATGAGAGAAGTTCCACTATATTTTTATATAGTGAAAATTCCTATATATATTTAGTAAAACAATAATTAGAACACATATTTCTTTTAACCTTGTTTTTCACCATATATATAATACCAATCGGGTAGTAGTGTTACTTTATATTATAATTTTGCAAGTGATTATGAAAATAATGTCGAGTAATTAACCAACTGGAAGGATGTTTATGATAAATAAAGTAGTTATTTGTAAAGATTAGAAACGTCATTAAGCGGTTACCAGATTACGCAATACGTAATAAAAGAATCGCCAAATATTTTAATAATTGTCATTTTTTTATTAGCTTTTTGAAAATCAAGAAACGGATATTTGAAATAAATAAATATATTTGTAATATTCCAATGAGTGTGTGTGGCGCATATGTATCTGGTGCCCTTCTGTACCAATGTGTATGTGTTTAAATAATTAAATAAATCCCAATGAGTAGAGAAACTAGATTTTCTGACGTTTTGTGATTCAGTGTAAGCCACTTCTTCAGAGAATAAATAACCGAATTCACATTTATCACTTGCTTGTTCGCTTCTGTGTATTTGGCTTGTGCCTTGGCTTTCTCTATCCTTGTTCGGCTGGTATTGATTGCTACCCTCTTGTTCCTCCTTCAATCTTATTTAGTGTATCAACAGTGATCCATTCCTTGTGAGGGTGCTTCTTGTGGCTCAGAACCTCCTGACATGTTGAAGTGATTGCCTCTTTTATCTCTTTCCAGTTGCTCTCCATAGTAGTTCCCTCTCCATTGATTAGCTCATGAAAGGCCTGGAACTTGTTGTTGAGGGCTATCTCGAATTTGTTGAGTTTGTCAGTGTTATGCCTGAAACTAAATCGATTCCGCGGTAACGAACGAAAGCCAATGACACAATGACACGATAAGCTATTCTAATCTGTTGTCCCAGGCCCCGCTAACTAGATGAAGAAGTCCAAGGCAAGTAGGGGAATATATATGTATTCCGTAAGCAGCCGAGTACAAGCAATCGAATAATGGAAAAAGTCAAGCGCATTTATACAACAACAATTTGTCCTTGAGCATCATTGGTAAATAGCACACACAAAGAAACAATGGACCAATAGCGTTTAAGACAGTTTACAAGTGGGAGATATGACGTGAAGGTAAAAAGAGCGCGTTTGGCGCGGAAACGGCTAAATTCAAATTTTCAAAATAAAATTACAAAACTAAGCCAAAACTACAACCAAGTAAGTTCTGGGGATTTGACATCCCCAACAGTCAGTATCCCGAAGAAAAGCCGTATTAAACTTTTGTGATGTTGTCCGCCCCAGTGTCCAGTGATTTTTGAGTTTTAATTTCATCTTGACGGCCAGCAAGTAATGATCTGATGCTATATCAGCTCCTCTCCTGGTTCTCACATCCTCCATAGTCCTCGTGAACCTTTTGTTAATGCAGATGTGGTCGATCTCGTTCCGCGTAGTGTATGATCCGGTGAAGTTCATGTGACTTTGTGTATGCATTTGTGTGGGAATATAGTACCGCCTGTGACCAGTTTATTGAAGGCACATAAGTTTGTAAATCTCTCACCATGTTCGTTCCTTTCTTCTAGTCAGTCCATGTCGTCCCATTATGTTTTGTGTTGTCCATTCCAATCTTGGCATTGAAATCTCCCATCAGAATGGTCAGGTCCTTTTTGGCACTTCTAGACGATTGACTGCAGCCTATCGTAGAATTGATGTTTAACGTCTTCATTGTAGTCGTTGGTAGGCGCATAGCCTTGGATGACGTTCATTGTAATGCCCTCTCTCTTTGTTTTGAAGGAGGCTTTGATGATCCATGGTCCATGAGATTCCCATCCAATAAGTGCATTGTGTGCTTTTATCGACAGCATCAATGCAACTCCTTGTGTATGTGGGGCATTTTCTTCTTCGTGACCGGAGTATAAAAGAAGCTTTCCCGAAGATAGTCGTTGTTGTTCAACCTGTGTCTAATGTGCTTCACTGATCCCAAGCACCTCCAGGTTGTATTTCCTCATTTCTGCAGCAATTTTGAAGACTTTCCCGGTCTCCCATATTGTCCAAGCATTCCATGTACCCATAAAAATTGTTGCTCTAGTTTTCAGAAGGGGGGTCAGCCTTGTGGCTTCCGAAGGAATTCGGCTTTCATCATGTGGCGTCATAATTCTTCTGAATGGAAACCTATCTCCCAGAGCAGCGTTTAAATGATTTGAATTATTTTTTCCGGTTAGTGCTGTTTAGCGAGTTAGTTTTCTGAGGGATGGGGTCGCTAATTCCATGCTCAAACCTTTTCTTTTCTGGTCTTGGGGCCGGCATTAGCTCCCAGAGGGGCTCCAGGTGGAGTTAGTCTTGTAAAAGTACTTTATCTTTAAAAATTGCAGAGCACATACCGTACCTATGGACACTAGCTTCCAACTGATCAAGTGTTGATTGTTTGGCTTGAATATCATCGCACAGTAAGACACCGTCATCCACATACTCAGGGTCGAAAATGTTTTTCCAGGTAACAGATCCACGCCATCATTACTCACCCAATAGAACTGCTCCCTGAACGTCATCAGTAGGAAGGTTGAGGAATGGTGGAATTAAACAACCCTGCCTAACCCCTTTGTGTTATGTATTTGACCTAGACTGTAGCCAATTGTTATGACTTGATCAAGGTCGTTGCTGATTCGTTATGACCTTACGAATTTAACAAGGACGTAAGTCGCGTAAATTATTCACCAATAGAATACGCCTTCTATGACCTTCACACTGTAACAATGACGTTCGATTAGTATGAGTAATCTAGCGTCCTTATTGGTCCTTATCCGCCTAACCCGTCCACTTGAGTCCAGAACACCAATAACAGCTGCTGTAATGCGAATCGTTTATTTCAAACATACTCTATCTATATACCAGACAGGCAGACCACACCATAAAATAGAAAATAATATTTGTACAAAACCAGGCCAAATGAGACTGTAAGCGTGGGAGACAATAATCAATAAAACTGAGCATAACGTAGGGACAGTAAATCATATAATAATAATCAATAAGTCAAAATGAAGCTAGTAATAAGATGAATATAGACATAGATAATCCAGTTACTGAATAGTTATACCATAGGAATATAAATAGAATAATAGTCTAATAAGAGGTCCCGTAAGTTATCAGTACTTACTTTTTTCCTAGTATATAACACTTTGCATAAATGGAACAGTGGAAAGAGATGGTTTTATGCCCTCACTCAGCTTGAGGTGTTGTATATGGGGCTTGCAAGATGTTTAATAAACTTCTCAGGCACACTCTTTTTATATAGGCAATTTTAGGGAACAGTCCTGTTCAACGAATCGAAAGTAGTCCTGATGACAAGAAACACTACGATTGTTGGCTTGCAATAAGTATTATGGTGTTCTAACATTTGTTGGGGGGTGATATGATATTATCAATACGTCCTCGACCAAAACGAAGGCCAGTCTGCTTCTCTTGAGTCAATCTTTCTTGGATTCTTAACAATATATGAAGTGTGACGGGAGTCAATGATTCGAACACGATCAGAAGTAGACTCTTATCTCTAGATAGTTGTTATAGAAACGATGTGAACCTTTTTAAATATAGGAACAACTATCGACTCATTGCATGATGTTGAAACACTCTCTAGCTCACAAACCTTTGTAAACAACTAAGTCAGTACAATAACCAGAAAGTCGCTACCATCTTAAAAAAAAGCCGGATGTATGTCATCTGAGCCCGGTGATTTGTAGCGTTTCAAGATTTGGAGTTGCTTGAGGACTTCCGCCTAATTTGGTGGAGCAGTTATCACCGGCAATAGAGGACAGGACGGTCTGGTCGATGTTGACGAAGCAGCAGGCCAGTTGAACAGCCCTTCAGAGAATTCTGCCCGTCGTCCAAGACGTTGGTGGATGATAGTGATTGGTATCCTTTCATCTTCACAGATTGTTTCGCTCACACCACCTGCAAGCGGCTCTACTCGCCATTTTCATGGCGCCACGCGATTGTAGCCGGTGCTTATCTGTTCTATTCCGTGAGCTGGTAGCTAGCCTAGAAGCTAGCTTGGTTTGATACTTAGATATAACAAAAGCTGCGACCAATTTGCTGATGTCTATCGGTTTAAGACGATGAATCTGCTGGCCACTGAAACATTTAACACCAAATTGTCTATCAACTATCTAGTGATCGTGCACTTCAGTTATCTTTTAGTACGATTCAAAGATTATGCACAAATTCGAAAAGTGAATGTCCGGCGCTTTAACCGGGTTGGTGGACACGGCGAGTCCATCCAGGGGAGTTGGTAAACCCTGATTTCGAACCAATGGTGCACATGGGCTCCAGTGTCTTGAAGAAACGAATGGCGTATGAACCAATCGTTGATCACTGGCTACCATGGGACTGCATCTCCTTAAGATGCTCCACTGCCTTGTGGACTAGACCTTCAGGTCAAAGGCTCGGGGTGTGGTCCCCTAAGAAAACCACCTGCTTCAGTCTGGGCACCTGGGCAGTATCACAGCCCTCACACAAATCAAATGAGATTTGTGAATCGCATATTTATCTAGTGCTTCCTCGTACCAATATTTATGTGTTTAAATAAATAAAAAAAAACACAAATTCTGTACTAAGTTGTGAACTAAACTCTTGTAAAAGCTAATGATACATAATAAAACAATTTGTTTCCTGATGATACCCAAGATTGAAGGAGCTTTGACTTTTATATAACTGATATTTCTAAACCTTTTTGGACCACTAAGAAAAATGCATTATGTATCCAAGCGAAATATCCTACTGTTTTCATATCATATCACAAATAAAGGTACTTTTGTATCATGTTAAGTTACAATAGGCTTCTTAAACAATTTTTCCTACTTTTGAGCTGTAAAATCTCGTGGAACAAGGTTTTAGTTTATAACAGCTAATAATAATAGTAATAAGCATTCACCGGGTACTTTTGTATGAACCACACTAAGTATCTAATGATGCTACTCAGTTGCCCAAACGGAATTAGGGTTATTGGGACTTAAGCATAAGATTTATTGACTGAGAGTCGAGCTTCCTAACCATCAAGCTCATGTAGATCGGCAAGGTCATCATGATGTTGATCACGTCATCAAGACACCAAATGTATTACCGGAAATCAGTTTGATTGCTTTTCATTAAAATGTTTTACTTTACAGCTCACTTTATTGGGGGATTCTCGTGATCCTATCCTAGTTAAAAACCAATTGAATTCGTCGGATTTCAATCGAATAACAACCGAAGTTCTTGCCGTTGCTGTTTTACATTTATGTGAAGAAGGTGAGACCAGTTGCTTTATTTTTATTCCTAAGTTATCTGTTCGAGTTTCAGTTGTGTCGATTAAATTAACCCATTGAAGGTTACGTCATCCATACGTTTATTTCATACTACCCTTTATACTTGTAAGTGGAGTGTATGTATAGTGCAAAATTCATATTAAGGACCAGACGTGAGAAGATGAATTAGTTAGAAAAACGCTCTGATCCAAGTTATCAGCGAATTAAACTAAAGCAAAAAGTAAAAAAATGAAGTAATGAGTAAAGCACCAAGATGTTGGGTTGTTTAAGCAGGTTGTTTCCTAATGGTCTTTGAATACACAGATGACATAGCTTTATTTGGTGAAGATGCTGACAAAATATAATCTTTTAATCTGTTCAAGTGACAGTGCTAGCATGTTTGCGATGCGTTTTGTTCCTTTTAAATGCAAAGTGATGCTTTCAGAATCGGTTTTCGTCGACGCATGAACTAATGATAGAGAGTAAAGTAGTTAAGTGCGTTGATCGCTCCATTTATCTTGGAAGTTCCACCACCTCTGGTGGATTAGTGTTTAATGAAATAGCGACACATGTTCAGAAAGCTCTCTTGGCTTTTGCCAACTCAAGTGACCTATATAGTAGGCGAAATATCCATCTACCAACCGGATATCGAGGATATTGCTTAGCGGTCCACTCTATCCTACTTTATGCCTGTGAAACATCGTCTGTGCAATCAGAAGACATACGTAGACTGAGAGTTTCTGATCCTAGGTGTCTTTAAAGAACTCGTGTTTCATGAAACGACCGAGTGATCAATGGTATATGCTTATCATGTATTCATGAACTCTGATTCAGATCATTTTAATACGCAGTTAATTTCCAAGAATAGTTTTATGTTACGTAGTGTCGCCATTTTTTTGTTGTTTCAAATATATTTCTATAATTATTACAGCTCTGTTTCAGTCTCACAAGTACACATTCTCATTGGCTTTTATTAATGTTTTTGCTTGCATGTCTGATGTATATCTTACCCTTAAAGTGAAATTACCTTTGTTTCATCCAGGTACCAATCTTAAGTTGGCGGAGGCGGAACCATGTGAATTAGCTGCAATATTAGTAGCATGTGCTGAAAACTTTTTGCATCGCGATGCGTCTACGTCATCCATTACATCTAAGGATAATCGCAAAATGAAACACACAAAATTGTCATGTCATCCTTTATCTCTCGTATGGTCAAACCTCCTTAGCAAAACTTTATGTGTGACACAGTTAACCTACTCCAAGTCCAAACTAGCATTTTTATCAGCTGCTTTAATTTGGAGTCGTCATATTAGTCTGTCTAACTTTGGTGAGCCTTTACGTGGGGGTAAACATCATCCCTTGTTTTTACTCGTTCTACAACGGTTATCACAAATTATTAGTGAAGATGGAAGCGGCACAATTTGTACATCTGGAGCAGGATTGAGTGACAGACGTTCCTTGCTCATTCAATTATTTCAAGAGAGTGAATTGCAAATGAATCAAATGGTCCCAGGTTCGTTTTTCTGTCAAATATATCCTTGTCAGTTAAATTTTTGTAACCCACATTTTATGAGGAGTAGAACTATTACTAAAGAATACAGAGGCAGCTACAGTGTATGTTCTATGTGCTACCATTCAGGATATACATTTACGAAAGCCATTGTACACTACCGTCAGTATGCATATTAATTAAATGTTTTCGGAGTTTAACACATTATTTTATGTTTGTAAATATTATTTTTTTCGCAAGTTGTTCAACTTATATTTTTGATAGTAATGTTTTCTTTTATTACACATAATATTTTATCTATAGAAGGGAGTCAAACAAACAAAGCTTTGTTGTCTTTGCTGGAAGAACGTAATTTAGATTTTCTCGTCCCAAGCTTACGATTGTCGACGGAACTATCTCATCTTATTATGGATACTTCATCTTTAGAAGGAAAGTGTCCAGAAGAGTTTGACAAAATCACAGCTTCTAAATTCAATGATTACCTTTCAAACCATCCAATTGATGCCAGGATACGAGCATCAGACTACATTCATGCTTGCTTGCCGGTCATTTATGAATATATTTATAGAATAGGAATTGTTGATCTTGGCAGTTTGTCTTCTCCCCCCACTTTAATGGCTAGAGAAAAAGCTGCGTGGGAGTGCATAGTACCTCATGTACTTATCGAAGTTTTAAGAAGCTCAACAGACCGACAGTTGGATGCTCTTCATGACCTGCAGTTCTTCTGGGTTGATAAAAATATGCCTAAAGGTCAGTGTACTTTTCAAACTATGTTGTCCGGTAAATCATTTTTATGTCAGTTGGTGGTAAGGATTTTTCATATATATTTGAGTTTTATCATGACAAACTTCATGGAATAATTGAAAACGTTAATTTTGTTGTTATATGAGTTCCTTTCCTGTCATCTTTCACCTTCTCTTTCCTAATCTTAATTTATTTTACTTATTATTAAAACTTGAAACGTTTGCAGATATTTTGCTTCCTAATTTTAGATTTAATTCATTTAACCTAAGATGATAGTGCTTATTCTGAGTTACATCATTTTATGCTTTTTGATGACTTATGAGTGCTGATAATTTGATGTTGAAAAATTATAAGTGTTAAACTTCTTTGTTGATGAGAGCATTCTAGAAGATAACATGATGATCCAGAATAGTATTTAGTAGAAACATCCAGTTACTTGGTAGAATTTGAAACTATAATCTAACTGGATAACCTGACCATATGTTGTGTATCCGTAGTCGTTTCTAGGGTTTTAGGAGAAATGACACTAATAGTCTCGCATCAACGAATTGAAAACTTTTCGGTCACATAAAATGTCTTATCAGTTCCTTATTCTTTGAGTTAAGTGCGAGTTTTCCTAAATAGCTGCAGTAGATGATGCATGACAGTGTCAGTTTGGGCACCTGGGCAGTATCAAAGCCCTCACATAAATCAAATGAGATTTGTGTGGCGCATATTTATCTGGTGCCTCTTTGTACCAATATTTATGTGTTTAAATAAGTAATAAGTAATAATCTTTGTGGCTATAATGAATAGGACTTACAAGGTTTACAAATTTATTATCAAGTAATCACCCATTTTTTCTTTTTTCGACAATATATATATATATATATATATATATATCCACTAGTCGATTCGTAATAAGCCTTGAAAATAAGTGAATTCCATAGAAACAATTTTCTCTCTTTTCGAATAGTGGCCTTGTGGTTAAAGGGTGTTCAACCTTCAGGTTTGTCCCCCTTTTTCATTCACTTTGGCTTCAGCAATCGGATAGTATCATTAGTCCTCAAACTTAATGTGTGACTCATACTCAAGTACCCGGAGAATGAGTTAATTAATTATAATTCTATGTTTTCGCTTTACCTTCATCGATAGTCTGTGACTAGATCGTCTATTAAATAAGAACCAAACTGTTTTGACGTCCATTCGATGTGCAAAATTTCAAATTTATCCTTAACATTTTGAAACTAATGGATCATTTGCTCAGTTCAATTTCCTAGGTAATAATAATTCTCCAATAATTTTATTAATCAGCTTTCCAGTTAAAGGAGTATGTTGTAAAAAAGCTTTGTCTAGAAATGAGTTTCGTCAGCACTAAAGTAATGCTCATTTCATGTTTTATTACAGGGTTTTTGTTTCGTTGTTTTATGAACCTTTATAATTGTGAGCTTATATGTGAAGATGCATTTTTATCATGGAAAGAAGAAGTGAATCCCAGTTATCCTGCTAAAGGCCAAGCATTATTTGAGGTACACTGTTTGTCATGTTAATTTGGTATTTTATGGTAATTAATCAGTCACTTATTATATATTGTAGAATAGTATATATACATCAGTCCAAGTTGCCACATTGTATCAAGAAAACTGAAATATTAGAATAATAGGATTAGTAACATTATCGGTGATACTAGAAAGAGTAGGCGTATGTATGGTTCAAGAACAAAATACGAATTTGTGGAATGCATATGCATATGCGCGTCAAATTAGGTGGTTTCTGCGAACATAATATATGTCCCATTCACCACAGTTAATAAAAATTCACAGTCTCATCAAATAATTTCTCATCTTTGTTTGGCATAACGTTTTACAGCCATTAAGTAAAACAAAGCAAACTGCTGAGCAGCATACTCCCTCGTCGTTCACACACAAAGATCTCGCCTACACAACTAATGATACGAGTTGACAAACCCAAGCAAGCTGTCTGAATACTAGCCAGGATAAGTAAATTGGTCAATGCAATAATATATTTCACTCTTTGATCAATCCAGCCAACAACACAGACCCGTCCCGAATCAGCATTTTCGATTCAGAGAAGGAGAAACATCCCAAACATTCATTGTTGCTCAATGGTGATCAGAAAACTTCCTGTCATTTTTCAATTCACTAGTTGCTTTCACTCATCACTTCTTCGTTTCTGTAGAACCCTGAGTTCAATATCCATACTCTGGATTGCATTTTTCTGGTGTACGTTGATTTGTCTGTTTCGCACATACCATTATGGTGTTCATTCACTTTCTTTTTTGCTCTTACATGTTTTCTGACTTATACATGTAGAGTATCCTTCTTACCTACAGAAAAGGTTGACATCCGGTGACCGTCAAAATCTAAGTAAACATTCACTATTACCATATTATTTTGATTTGATAATTTAAACTCATGTTTATTTGTTTCATTGCTTCGGTTTTGTATTTTTGTTACCTTGACATCCTAGTTCCTATTAGGGTACGCAAAGTATTTTATGAAATCTGTCTTGTTAATTATTTCATCACGATGACTTTTATTTTCAGGTCAATCGCTGGTTAACCTGGTTAGAAACAGCAGAGGAAGAAGACGAAGAAGACCGATGTAAATCTGATGCGAATGAAGATCATGCAAAAATAGTTCAAGAAAGTTCAGTGGATTCGGAAAACTCAGAAGCTTCTAAATCTCCCAACCATTTTACTGATATTGAGTCTCATATTATGCCGCCAGCCCTGCATCCCAATTCAGCAGTTTTGCGTTCCTGAATGACCCCTTCAGTTTCTGAACTTGACATCAGTTTTGTGTGTTCACATGTAAATCCTAGATTGTATGTCTAGTATGGAAAATCGGTTTTGAAACCTCGTCTTTACCAAAACAATTTTGTGGACCCTCACTCACATTGGGCTTCAATTTTCCTTATTATACTGTTATCAAAAATCCTGACTTTCATTTTACTTTTTGACACTTAGTTACCTAAATGCAAGGTCCTCTCGTTTATGTAACTATGATGAATGAGTTGCTCTGTAATGTCAGCAGTGGTGAAGTGCCACTGGTAAATGTGTCTAAAAAATTGTTACAAGAACCCACATCCCGCTACCGTGTTTCATCAACATTTAATCTCTTTAATTTTTGTTACCAGGGATCCATGTAAATTACATTATCATATACACACCAATTGCATCGTAAGTAGCAATTCATTGTAACATAAAGTTTAAGCTTATGTAGTTACACTTCAAATATTTGTACGTGGACGATGTGAATTATTTCGTTATGGACGATTGAGACCAGTCGTTCTAACTTCTCCTCTAGATAATCAATATTTTCAGTTATACTGGATTCTAACTCAATATGACGTGTATAATCAGATATAAATTGCGTCTTGATACAGTTATCATCCATCTTGAAGAATAATACGACACATTATTGATTAGTCATACATGCTCCTCCATTGCACGTATGCATAAGGGCATAGAAGCAGATTTAAATGGGGCTGTATTTTAGAGTCGTGGGTTTGTATTTGTTCCGAGAAAATATTTCATTAAGATTGAACCGTCCTGAATGATAAGTTCTGCTTACCAAATAACCATAGACATTATTTAAAAAATAACAGGTGGGTTTCTTTATATCGTCAGTTCAAAACCATATTTTGTCTTGTAAAAATTTAAAATCCGAGCCTTCAACTCAACATATCGACAGCTAAGTTGCTGTTGTTAGGTGTATCGGTTAAATTTAATGTAAAGGAAGTCATCTGACAAATATGTATAGGACTATGCTATTTTATGTTCACATTCATTATTTCAGTAAATTAATCATTTCATCAGGCTTAAAGAAATAATGACGCAAGTGACCGGCAAAATGGTACTTGTCTACTATGAAAGGATTACAAATAGAGTTCAAAAATGTCGTTGAATTTAGCGGTATCTCTAATGGAGATGTTATTTTGCAAATTGTGCCTTATGACACACTTAAAACTCATAACACTAAATCCAGTAATCTCATTTATAATGTCAATAGTCCAGTTTTTGATAGCTTGACGTATGAGAATATGTGTCTTAAAACGCTTGCGAATGAATAAGCTGATCAAAAACCAGAATTTCACGTGCAAACTTTTATAGATTCTGAAATTCGTCTGTTGTAATTCATTCTGTGTTGCTTGTTTGGAGCTTACATCTTGAATTTTATGAGTTTATAGGTTTATTAAACCACGATTGGTTTCCTCAGTGTGAATAAAGGAGCAGTCAACAAATTAGATGGAAATCGCAGAGAGCTCTAAATAAATTGTTGACTATACTCTTGAACAGATACTGATGACATCATTTGTGTGCCCTATGTTGAAAAATGAGCTCAGTTCTTATTCTCTTAGAAAGCAATCTTAATCGCGAACTCCACTTCTGGCCATTTGCTCATTCTAAGTAATCTCATGAAACTAAATGACACTGCATTTAAGAAATGGAACGTCTTTTGTTACCTGACCTCTGTCCATGTACAAACTAATATGAGGAAATCTTTCACTTCTTTCTTGTCCAAATGAGCTAGTTATGATAGATAACGAGTCAGTTAAGTTCATGAACGTAGCATTCAGTGTTTGTTTTGTAATACTTGGTTTCGAAAAAAAAACAAATTTTAAACTAGGAAGTATACACCTTTGAAACGTTTACTTATTCTCTTAGCGTGAACGAAAATTCCCTGCTTTACGTTTCCGTAGTAATACTTGTAACTAAATTAGTACGAAGTACAAACATATCTAATTTATTCAATTAAAGTTTCTTCCAATTTAATTAACTTATTTGCTTTACAAGTGGGAGGTTACTGTAAATGCTTTTCTCACAACGCGCACGCTTCGAAATGTGTTGATTAGACTAAGCTGACGTAGACCTCAAACAATTTTCTAGGGAATCAGAAAATATAACAATTTAGCATACGAGTATTGATTTCCGCCCAGATTTTGAGAAAAACAATATATATAAAAATATATCCAGCTCTGTTTACCATGCTTGTGAATTAAGGCTATATCGAGGCAATACGCACATATGCCAATTAGAGACTGACCAGTTGCAGTCCTAACAAATCGATGGGAAGATTCAAATAAACAATACTGAATGAATTTATTATCTTTCTGTCTAATGTAGTAATCTTTAATCATGTGTATTTAATTTCACTTGCTTGAAAATTTTGACCACTAAAACAATCTGTCCTTTTCTTTATTAACCAATACTATAAATGCAGCCAATATCAACCTTTAGAATCAAAATTGTATGATGTAAAATTATGGAAATTATCCTATGCGAATAATTAATATCTAATCGGAAGTGCATAAATATACCTTTTTATTTTCCCTCTCACTAAATTAAAAAATCTTTATTTCCAGAATGGGGATTTGTAGAGATTGTAGTAATTTTAATAGTTGAATGCATAAATCGATCTAAGCTAGCCCACCATTGAAAACCTGAAAGAACTGGACGGTCGTTTCATCTCAGCATGGGACTCCTCAACAATGGGCATCCACGATCGCATACACAGGACTCGGAACCGGAAGCTTCAACCTCACGAGCGAACGTTTAACCTGTAGAACACCGAGATGGCATCCAGCACTTAATGTCTAACTTCAACAAATCCACGATATTGTCCTCGGTTGGTTACTTTCTCACACCTGACACGAATAGGACTCCACTGGTCACGGCTTCTCACTGGAGCTTCGAGAATCACCTCTCGAAACTAGTCCCTAATCAGCACATGATGGATGCTCACTGTTGAGTAGTCCCATTCTGGGACGAAACGGCCGTCCAATTCTTTCAGGTTTTCAATGGTGGGCTAGCTTAGATCGATTTATGCATTCAACTATTAAAATTACTACAATCTCTACAAATCCCCATTCTGGAAATAAAGATTTTTTAATTTAGTGAGAGGGAAAATAAAAAGGTATATTTATGCACTTCCGATTAGATATTAATTATTCGCATAGGATAATTTCCATAATTTTACATCATACAATTTTAATTCTAAGTTCGACTTGTGAATTTAACTTAAAATTTCTGTTTACTAATATATCGCCCACACACACTCATCGATAACCCCACTTTCTGTTCAGACAAACACAGCGGTTAAGTCATGATAATATTTAAACATTAGATTCTTGTTACTTTTTATCGCTTTAATTAAGTCATCGGTTTTAAACAATAATGCTTCAATAAAATCAGCATGTTCTTATCGACCTACTAGTACTTTTTATATGCCTACTATCTTACGTCAAAAAAGCACAATGTAGTTTGAATAACTATAAAATATTCTGGGATAATTTACTGAGAATGTATTTTTTGTAATAAATTTCCAAGGAGTTTAGTTGCGTAAACTGTTCATCTGTTATAATGAAAATATTCTTGAAGAAAAAGTAAATAGATTATTCCCCCAAAATAGTGTATTGATTTAAAACGATGTAGAAATAATGCCACTACGGCCATGAAAGTCTTGACAATTGCATTATTGTGCCATATGTTTCATGTAGTTTGTCAAACTGAAATAATATTTTCAGGTTGATCACCTGGTAAGCCAGTGAAATTAATTTTCTGCGTTTTCGGATGATGTCAACGATTGGAATAGAAGATTTGAATTCTATCTCCTTTAGAAATCTAAATCGATATTTTTATCGGTCACTTATAGTCATGAACAGCCTAATCTCGCTATAAATAGAAGGATTAAAAGTAAAAGTTAACATAATTTAAACGAAGTTGGAATAAAATTTTAAACAAAACACATCAAAAGATAATTCATAAATGACTATATACGTGAGGAATATTCTACGTTCAGTCACATATAATAATAATACGGATAAAAAAGACCAAGACCACGTAATTACGATAAAATTAATTTAACGAATGAATGTATATAAGGCGCTAAAGCTTTAGTTATCATGTGAATTTATTTCAAAACAGATATTACTAAGTCCTCAATAAGACCTCATGAAACTACTGACCACTTTGTTTTTGCTTGTATAGTGAGATCATGTGTACTGCAAGAAGAAAGCTCCTTTAAATTATCACGTGAATCTCTCCATATATAATTATGAGTCAATATCAGCTATCAATGTATATTGCCTTTTCTTGTGGTTTGAAGTTTAATTTTCTATTTCTTCTTGGACTTTCATCTCAACTACAAATTAATAGCATTTGTTTCAGTCAGGTGTTTATTGACGAAAGGAATTATTTAGGATAGCATATTCTATTTTTACCTTTCGTTTAAGAGATATGGATACTTTTCTTCCACGGCAATCGAATACTAGTAAATAACCATTACATATCTACTGCTTAGGTACCTGGTTAATATCTGACAGTAGTATGAAATCAATAACACAAGCCAAATAATTACTTAAAGTCATACTGATACTAGGCTTGGACACAGATTGATGACATCGCGATCAGCTAACGCTGGCGTGGTTGTGCACAAGACTGCTGCTTCTCTTGGAGTACCTATATGGACTCTGATCATGCCCTGGTCTGCACCAATCTTACCTTACTTTTCAGTGGTCACCGAGTTAATCGTCATTAACGGATTGATGTAAGTAAATTGGTTGCAACTTCTGTTGCAATTAAGTATCGAGCCGAGCTAGCTGGCTACCATCCTACCGAAAAGTATAGATGAGCATTAGTTGCGATCTCATGACGCCATGAAAATGGCGAGTAATGTCGCTTACAGCTTCGCGAAACGTTCCGCTTATAAGCACTGGGTTTCTTTAGGCTCCTTACAACTAATTGAAGACAGTCGGTCAATTCCAAGTGGACGCGAGTTCGGCTATAAACGAAGACTGTTACGGTATGTACTTTGCACCTTCGAAATACAAAGTACTCCTACAAGACTGACAGAATTCTAATTGTGTGTCCACACTGGGTGGTAAGCAGCTTGAAGTAGTCGAGAAGTTAGTGTATCTAGGTAGCTGCATGAGTGCTAATGGTGGAGTAGGTTATGACATTGATTCACGTATAGTAAAAGCCAGAGCTGCTTATGCCAATCTGGGCCATCTTCGAGATGTTAGTCTGGTTGTTAAAGTTCTGATCTACAATGCGTCGGTGAGGGCAGTATTGCTCTATGATTGTGAAGCCTGACCTCTCCGAGTTGAGGATGTTAGACGTCTCTCTGTGTTCGATCATCGTTGTCTCTGAAGGATTGCTGACATCCAGTGACAACACCATGTTAGTAATGCAGAGTTTCGGCATCGTTTTCGGGCGCATAGACGATAATCTAATTGGTGTCACCGTCTTGAAACGCCGACTTCGGTGGCTTGGACATGTTCTACGAATGTCATCCTAGAGAATTCCACGTCGTGCATTATTTTCCGACGCCGGGACTGGTTGGAAAAAGCGGAGAGGAGGTCAGTGTATGATATGGTGTCATGGTATGAAAGAAAGCTTCACAGGACTGGCTTCTGTCGGTCCTACACGATTCCATGGTTGGGGTCATGGAGATGGTGCAACACAGTGGTTATAGACGTTATCAGATATGGCTCAGAATAGAAGCCAGTGGCGATCCGGTTCTAACCGTCTTTCGCTTTCTTCATAAAAGGTGGTTGTAACTTCCTTAACCGAAAGGATTCTTCTGGTTTTCACTTTCCGTTTCCCCCATTATTGTTTTTATTATTACAGTAACGTACACCAATCTGTGGTTGTGATTAGTCTTTTTTTTATGTGCACCTTACCTTCTTTTTCTATTCGTATTTTCATTGTTTTGTGTGGCCCATATATATCTGGTGCCCCTTTGTACCAATAACTATGTGTTCAAATAAATAATAAATAAAATAGGGCCTTTTGATACTTCTGAGTGTAGTTCCAGCATGTCCACGAAACTGGGTGGAGGAATACATTTTAATGCAAATGACAAATATATCTGACCAACTTATTTCAAACAAGTCAATTTTACCTGAGAGCCAAAGTAATGTACTGAAAAATTGATATTAAGTACTTGATTCATTTTTTGTACCTAGGACCACACAGATGTTTCTATATTATTTTGCCCGAAGTTTTCAGAATTCTGTTCTAATATCGTGAATTTTTATTTGCTGATACAATTTCCAATTTCAAAAGAAGATATTATAGACTGTAAGATCACTACATGAAACGGGAACCAGTATTTACACTAGAGGTTGAAACGATGCTTTGGGAAAATTTGGTTATAACAAGCCAGTGAATTACAAAAAGTACTGGTTAATGTAGGACCTTACATATATTCTGTATGGCATTTGCATGGAGCAAGACTTTATTACTTATCTTACTGTACACCATTTCCGTGACTTTAAGTTATTTTACTGATCGATGTTTCAAAATTGCCATTTTTTAGACTATGGCTTAACTATAAAGCTCTAAACGATGTACGATGAAGAACTATTTATCTATGATTTTATTTGGAATAATTTACTAGTTGCATAGAGCAATGAAATCTACTATTCTGTTTCATTAGAGAAATTTAATGGTTAACATTACACCGTAATATATTTCCTCTTTAGTGTTTAACATTTTTAAAATGATATTTGAAGGATATAACACAGAGAAAGGTTGGTATGGTGAAAATAAACGAAAAATTAATTAGACATATATGAAGGAGGATAATTTGCTTTCATATAGTACAAACATCCATTAGTTTTAAATGCAAGAAACAAATATTTTTTAATCATATTTTTTATTAACCAAACATACTGGATACGAGCAACAAGGTCATGGTCATTTGAATTGAACCAAAAACACTTAATAAACACTTGTCATGTGAAATTAAAAATAATGAGCTGATTGACCTTAAGCATAATTTATAAATCAATGTACAATGTATAATTGTATTTGTTAACTTTAACCGATTCAGTCATGCAACGTCACGGTGAATGTGGAAATATATTGATCAAAATCATTAATATAAATGAAATTTTTAAGAAATTTCTTTAGTCATTGACATGAAGACAGTTAAGCCTCGGTCGGAATAATAGTTATATATATATATAACTCGTGTAAAACTATCCGAATAATAAATGGGCGCCGTCGGTGCTAAGATTCTTATTATGCAAACAAATCCATATAGGAATGTCTCATTAATAAATAAAAGTTTGGATCATGTGGTTGTAGAATTTGTAGTGAATCAAATGCACCAAGTAAATGAACTAATTTTAGCCTGGCTCCAAAAACTCTGGCAGGATAGACATATTTAATTAAATGAATTAACGATCAGAACTCAAGATTAAAGATACGATTATTTAAAGTCAGTAGTTATAATATGGTTATAGATGCAGGAAAACGAGTCATAAAAATATGCCTAGAAGGTATAATGGAGAAAAAACATCGTCCCTCAAAAGCTAATTTTACCAGCAAATGACTAATCTTTAAGGTTTATGAAGATAAAGATTAAGCAAACCAGGTGTTACTTACACACTATCAATATAATGTAGACAAAAACTTATATGAACTTGGAATACTATGTTGATCTAAACAAACCCTGAATAATCGGATGGTAATTTACTAAGATAAGTGATCTATGCATTCGTACCTCAAGCACCGTGCATAATCCACTCACAGGTTCACTTCAACATGAAAAATGGATTTGCTGATCTGTTCACGGTGAATAGACTAAACTACTTAGTTTATAGAGGCTAGGTATATATTCTATTCATTTTGAGAACTTTTCTCGATTCCTCCAAGGAGATTTGACAGTATGGCTGAGCAAGTAAAAACCGATGACTATGAATTCACATAGAAATGTTATCATTTGGGGTTCTCGAATTTAGTTTGTTATATAACTGTTTCCATTTTACACACTTAGTCAAAACATGTACTTATTTTCCAAACCCTTCATTTACTTACTCGAAAAGTCGCACCAGAGTCCTTTACCACATAGTTAAACAAAAATTATAGTGGAACTTATCATTCATTCGTCAACTTATTTTCCCAAAAACATTGTTCTCAATCCACGAATTTGACACTTGAAATCACATGATACTAAAGAAGTTTCTTATGAGTAATTATTTCATAATCGTTAAGCTTCTGAAAACCAAATGGTGAATTTTATCTGCGAATAGAGTTGTACTACTTACTAAAGTTTAAGTAGAATAATTTTTAGTTTAAATCATTTCACTAGTAATCCGTACCAAACGTAGGGAAATAAAAGTTAGTCTATTCGTACGGTTAAGAATTTATTTAGTAGTGAAAAATGATCTCTTCATTTCATTAGCGAAATGGGAATATTGTTTTTTACAATAAAAATTTTATAAAAAAACAGGAGAAATAAAACGTTGAGAGATCAAAGAGGGAGATGTATTCTAGAATTTTCTGAATGATGAGCAACATTTATAGATAGAAGTTCACATTTCTCATTTTTTTGGTCTGGTACCACCACGTTGATAAACGGGATTTTCTCTTGAAGATAAGTTCAGAATTCTGCTCTCTGAGTTTTCTTTAAATAAGGCGTCATAAGCATGTTTATAAATATGAGTAAGAGAAGAAAAATAGACTTTCTATTTATTCACAGCCAACAGAATAAAATCTAATTTTTTAGCTTTGATCCATAAAATGAACAAACATCAATATTCACAAATGAACACGTCTGTGATACAGTGTGTTTCACATTTTCCCTTAATAACTCTCTTCTTGTTGTATTCCACTTGTCGAACATTCCTGTCTATGATTTTGTTTTTCAATTCTTTAGTTTCCTCTAGGATGATTGTAGTTAATTAAAAATGTATACGGAATCTATCCATTAAAAAAACTATTTGAATGTTAGCACTAACTGTACTTTTGTCATCAGCAGCTGTTCTATTAAAATATTAAAGACATCACCTACATTTGTAAAATCTTTATTAGTCAGTATATGTTTCTTTCAAACATCCGATCTATGTATTTCTGTGAATTTACAGTGATGTGTCAGTAATATAATACAAGTGAATAAATTTTAAAAAAGAAACAGTCAACATAAGTACTAGAAAAGATTTATGTCTGGTATCATATTTCTTGAGAAAAAACAACGCGCTCGCTTTAAAATACAAATGAAATAATCCAAGATGAAAATACAAAAACTAATAAAATGATTCAATCGGTTTATTTTTCTGATGTATTGAATCTATTACAATTTGAAGAGAAAAGAAGGAGGTAAAATTATGAACTTGTCGACTGAGGTTTCATTGATAACGCCTTTGAAATTTTGTTCGATGTTTTATCACGAGAAAATACCTGTTTTATTTTCTTCGTTCGGGATTTTTCTTTTATCGGAGACTGAACATTTTAAGAGTAGAAGACGGAAATGAAACAAAAAAAGATACTCATCAAAGATTATCTGGAATTGAACAAATAACAATCAACAGTAAAATCACTCAAATCAAATCATTGGAAATATCACTTCAAATAATTTAAACATTTTATATCATTTACAAACCATCTTTAAGAAAAGTTTGTGGCTTATAATGCCACATTATTAAGACTCAATTTCTCGCTTAAAAATGGTGTCATATATAGATAAAATAGATAACTTTCGATGAAATTGTTCACATGGCACGTATTATTCCCGATATTGAAGTAATATATAATCATCTCTGTGAAAATATGTTTCTTAGTGTAAGTAGCAGCAACATTAGTAGTTCTGGAGAAATGGCGTATTGATTACGGAACTCCACTAGGAATCATATTGTCCATACTCAATTCCATCTTTTTCAATTTAACTAGTCACAAAACATTATTGATTACAAAACAAAATATTTGACTCGGTGTCAATTAAACACATCTGTACATGACAACAGAATTCCATTTTTCTTTCCAGTTATTATTTTAAATCTTTTCATTTGAGATTCACAAAGAAACAAATTAAGGTAAATACGTCAAAAATCTTGTAAACTCATTAAGTTGTTGGAACTAAATGAATGTAAACGTTTTTTAGACAGGTAAATCAAAAAATCAGTCTAGCATTCATTATTGTTATCGAATCATATATTTGTCGGTTATCCTTTTGATTCTTGAGTAATTATTTTTTTATACATAGTTTATATTCACGCTGCAATGTTTTAGATGAATTACATAATAGTAGGTTTTGTGTCAGTAACATTAATTTTATAGTTCATATTCTGTTGAAGCATAAATTTCTGTCAGTCAAGTGGGGATTACCAACATGGTTTCTTCGGTGAGTATATACATTATTATAAATGTATACATGTATAAAGCTGTATGATACGAATAACTGAAATCGGGGATAGCTATAAATCACTAAATATTTCGAAAGAAAACAATGATTAAATACTGAAATGACAGAGGTTTATGATTTAATTCTTAGTGTACGCAACAATATTTTCAAGAACTGAAAATTTCAGTAAAATTATAGATACAAATATGTCCTATTTGTGTTTAGTAAAAGTTTGAGAGAATCCATACTTAGCTCATTACACTGTCTTATTAAAATTTTCAACTAGTCTTCTAATTTATTGAAGTATTTTTTGAAGTTTGCAATAAGCCCCTTTGTACTTTCAGCATTTTAGGATGACCGCTAAAGCTGCTATATACAACTTAAAAGTTGAAGTTAAAATCCATGGAATCTAAATGTATGGAATGCATTTCAAGTAGTATTAGTCTTTATAACTGTCTACTTGAAAACACTTCTACATTAAGCTTTGCAAGTTTCGTATAACGTTTTTCCAAAGTTTCAATAATGGAATGAAAACGTAGAGGTAGTCTATTTATGCAAGGGAAAAGATTGCATTGACGTCTTCACTGTGTGTATTATTTACTATGTAGGACACACTAGTAAATTTATGTGTTCAGTTGTGAATCTAGTTATTATGAAATCATATATATAACTCCACCTGTAGCTCCTCCTTGGTTACTAATGGTCACAAGTCTTGGTAAAGAAGAAGGATTGAGCATGAGGTCCGGAACCACATCCCGTATAAAACAACCTTGATAAAAAACGCTAACCAGAATAAACAATTCAAACCATTTGAGCTCTGCCCTCCAAGTTGAACGATCTTCATTCTGAAGAGTTACAACACCTCATGATGAAAACTGAGTGCCCTTGAAAGTCACGAGGCCGATGTCCCTTCCAACAACTAGAGCAACAATTAGTACAAGTATGTGGGGTGTTCAGACAATGTGAGAGACCGTAAGGACCAGAAAAGTAGCTACGGGAATGACAAGATACAAGTTGTTGGTACTCAAAACCCATGAAATACAGACCCAAGCTGGACAGAAAAGATCAGCTTCGGTAGAGGTGCTGTCGTACTATGATCATGAAGAAAATTGTGCATCAAACACACAGAAATTTGAATTGATGCTGTTCGAAGGAGCAAGAAAACCACTTATAGGATGGGGATCTCATTGTCAAAGCGTCATTCAAAACAAAGAAGGAGGGGGTCACGATGAATGTTATCCAATGTTATCCACCCAACAATGATAACAACGATGACGATAAAGATCACTTTTATGAGAAGCTGAGGTCGATCGTAGAGTAGTGTCTAGGAAAGAACCTGACAATCCTGATGTGAAACCTAAGCACCAAAGTCAGAATGGACGACACCGCATATGAATATATAATGGGTTGACGTGGACTAGAAGAAAGGAACAAGAATGGCAAGAGGTTTCAAATTTATGTGCCTTCCACAAAATGGTTGTTGGTGGCAACACATTTTCCCACAAAGCTACATTGGTCTCATCGGATCATACTACACAGAATCAGATCGATCATATTTGCATCACTGAAAAATTCAGAAGGTCAATTGAAGACATGAAAACTAGGAGAGGAGCTGAAATAGCTTCAGATCACCACCTGGTTGTTGTCAAGATGAAACTGAAACTAGAGAAACAATGGACAACTGGGGAAACAGCAGTACAAAGGTTCCATACAAACTTTCTTTCGACATACCAACAAACTCAACGAATTCAAGATAGCTCTCAACAACATGTTCCAAGCTTCATAAGATCTACTGAAAGAAGAAACTTCTATTTAGATGAACTGGAACGGGATCATAGAAACACTAACTTCGGCGTTTCAGGAGGTGGTGGACTGCAACAATCAACATCATAAGGTATGGATCTAGATGGAAACCCTGGATAGGATTCAAGAAAGAAAGAACAAGGAGACAGAAATTAAAAACAGCCGGACAGAAACAAAGGAAGTCAAGGCGCAAGCTGAATGTAAAAGAGAAAACAAGAGAGTGACAGGAAACGTTTTCAACAGAGTGTTGCTGAACCGGATGAAAGACTAGGTAGACGACCGATTTCTAGATCAACAGGCTGGATTCTGTAAAGATCGATCGTGTACCGACCAAATCACAACATTACGAATTATTATTAAGTAATCAATTGAATTGAACTCGTCACTATATATCAACTTCATTGACTACGAGAAAGTATTTGGCAGTGTGGATGGGAGAACATTATGGAGGCTTCTTCGACACTACTGCGCGGCTGAGAAGATAGTCAATATAATACGGAATTCCTATGATGGATTGTGCATCGAGGATAGCAGACAGACACATTTCAACTGAGGACAGGAGTCAGACAAGGCTGTTTTCTCCCTCTATCCCTCCTTCTGGTTATCGACTAGATCTTGGAGACCTTCACATCTGACAGGAAGAACGGAATAATGTGAACAGGTTGGATGTAAACGGATGATTTGGAGTTAGCAGATGACCTGACTCTTCTATTGCATACACACGAACAAATTCAAGTGGAGACAACTAGTGTGGCAGAAACCTCTGCATCAGTAAGCCTCAACATACACAAGGGTGAAAGCAAGATCATCAAATACAACACAGAGAACATTAACCCAGTCTCATTTGATAGAGAAGCTCTGAATGACGAGGAATCTTCCACGTACCTGAGCAGCGTCGTCAATTAACACAGAGGATTGGATGCAGATGAGAAGGCGAGGATCGGCACAGCAAGGACGGCATTCCTACAAGTGAAGAATATATGGAACTCAAAACAACTATCAACCAATATCAAAGTCAGAATCCCTGATACTGACGTCAAGACAGTTCTATTATATGGATCTGAAACTTGAAGAACTACTATAATCATTATCACATAGGTGCAAGTATTCATAAACAATTATCTACACAGAATACTCAATGTCGATTGTCCGGATACAATCAGCAAAAGAATACTGGGAGAGTGAACAAACCAGCTAACTTGGTATCCTGAAGGTAAATGGGAAAGAGGAAAACAGAAGAACATATTGTGCCAAGAATTGGAAGCAGATATAAAAAGGATGAATAGCAACTGAAAGGGAATCTGAGGACAGAGTCCGATGGTTAAGTTTCACGAAAATCCCTTCATAAATTTAATGAAATTTTGAAAAAATATATTCTGACCGATATTGTAAATACTTAGAATGTGTTTCTTAAGAAAGATGTTTCTAACTGTAAGTCATCTGGATGCAAAATGTTGATGTATATATAATTATGTTTCATAATTAGAAGTAAATGAAATGAATAATTAAAAATACATAACTTTGTTAAGAATTATTATAATATTTTTTATGTATAGTTGAAATCATCAGTCAATTGAAGCTAGACCACCATGGGAAACCTGGAAGCACTGGATGGCCGTTTCGTCCTATTATAATAAGTATTCGAGGATGATGGTGTTGTTGTTCAGTAGAAATCTATTTGAATAAAATATGTTTTCAGTCAGTAAAGTTTATCAAATACTTTCAGGAAACTTATATCAATTTTTTTTGAATAAAAATAGCTGTAACTTTAAACTTTTTTTTTTGAAATTAGTTCTTTTTCATTTTCAGTTGTCATTTGAAGCGATGTTGTTAAACTCCCGATATGTTTATTCGAATTAAAGTGATTTATTGTAATATGTAAGTAAAACATACATTAAATAGCTAACTGACAAAATTCCTAACTAGAGTAAGAAGTAATAAGATTTTTAGTATTGAGAAAGTATCCAATACATAGAGTATGTAGATTCACCTTGCTATTTGATTAAAATAAGCAAAAGATGTAAGCTCTGTATTTTACGTTCATTATCCTCTATATATTGACAATAAAATTTAACTTAATCATGTGCTTTAAACTGTAGTATCAGTTTATATGTTAAGCCCATATACTTTATTCTAGTTAATGACCAAGCCAATTCGCCTATCCATTATGAGTCATATTTTGATCTTGTTAATAACCTTGACTACTTTTTATATGAGCGTATATGTGTACTCATCGTATCCTATTCATCATATGTTTGTCATTCATTTTTGTCTGATTATAAATATTGAGTAATGCTTGCTCATAGTGAGTTGGCTTCCCAGCCATCTCCACTGCATGTCATTTTCGCTTCGTTCGATTTTATTCGCTTCATCACCCTGATTCCCTGGCTAGATCAATTAGTGTAGAAAATATATGTATTCTAAATCCATTCTCGTATTTGACTTATTTAACTCCGTTGTTCACCAACGCGGATAAAGTCATTTATTACATACGAGGATAGACAGTACGTATATTTTAGCAACAAACAATCATTCATACGATCAAAAAGGAATCAGATTTACGGCACTACAAAACAATTTCAATATTTTATTGGTAAGGATATGAATCTTACTGTTGTTAATGTATAGGACTGCAACCAAAATTTGTTTGAAAGTTGTTGTTCTTTAATCTTGATTTTGAGAGAATTCACCCACGATGTATGTATACCAAAAGGAACTGGTCAAATTCAGTCATGAATATCGACAATGGAAAAATTCAATAAAGCAAAATTCATCCTGTTACACAAGCTAGTGGTTATCTGGACTCAGTTACTAATACAATGGGGAGGTTATAGATGAAGGGAATGAGTTCGTGACTCTATGTGAACACCAACATTGGGGTGTATGTAAATACAGTTGACGAGTTACCAATAGGATGTCTTAAATTCTGCTATCAAACTGTGCTTATAAACCTTAACGTTCGTTTTTATTAAAACCTCACATGAATTCGCGTTTTTAATAATCATTTAGGGTTAGTATCAGTCAAATGATAATTTAAGCAAAACTGGTCTGGTTGAAGTTAATTCTTCGGGTTTCCAAACTCAAACATTACGTATAGCGGAGTTTTTACGAATCACACTTATTCCACTTCAAAGTCAGGACTAAATAAGGCCGGTTATATGACAACCAAAACCTATAAAAACAATCATGTATGATGACTTGACGAGTTCGGCCTCAAGGGTAAAGTAACTCTCAAGAAATAGGGTAATGATCATGGACAGAGTGAATCTGGAAACATCGGTTATCGGATTCTGGCACAGTAGTCTCGAGTTATTACATTCACTAAGGAGCTTAAAATTTTTCATTTTGATCCAACGAATGAAATTATTTTAAAGATCTGAGGTTCAATTATATACGATAAAACTAATACTTTGTATTTGTCAATGGTGTTTTTTTATATCAGTCATTGATGAAGACTATTTTCAGATTAAACAAATCCCCATATATCACATCACTAAACGAGTTATAAAATTATTTTAAAAAGCTTCTAAGAATAGTATACGGTTAGCAGCAAAATCCAGGAAGGGTTTTTCATCCTATTCAGAACTCACCAGTTGGAAGTGCTAATATTTACACTAATGATCAAAACGTTTACCCTTATCCCCTGACTCTAATAGATTGCTAAAAATTTTCTCCCGTTAAGCCGAAATCAATGTAGGCTCGTATGTTATACTGTTTTCAAAAGATCAAATAGAGAGTGAACCTTTGAGTCTGACGGTTTATATATTTACCACCTACCTTTATTGCAGAATATTTTCTTTTCTTGGTAGATAACTTGGCTTGATTTTCACTTTGACACCATATATAACCTGGTTGAAGTATCCATATTTGTTCATCAGATTCTTTCCTATTAACAGCTAATTCATTATTTACATTATGTACATTATTATTTATATTATGAACAGACTTTATAGATTGTTTAATATTAGTATCATTAATATGATCATTAGTATTAGTAAGTTGACATAAATGTCTATCTTTATTCTGTACAACATTTGATGAAACCATATAATCTTTATTTATATCACTACAAATTTTATTATCTTTCATAAACATAATATCTGTCTGTGAATCCATAAACTCATTTGATCCATTTAAATTACATATTGGTGACATTTCATCAACTTCTAATATTTCTTGTACCGTTGATGTAGTTTGTGAATGAGGATATGAATTATTAGTTCGTTGAAAATTCTCTTTTCCATGTATTAGGTAATTTTTTCTTTGTTTTTGATCAACTAGTTTATTATGTTCGTCTTGTTCATTTATTTCACCTTCTTCTTCTAGGATATTTGTTTTATGCTTGTTTATATTCAAAGCTTTTTTAAATATATTTGGTAGTGTTCTTAAAAAGTGTTGATGACCTTTAGAAGTATTAGCAAAGTAATAATTTGATATGGTTTCATTTAGTGTATCATCTGATGTATGCCTTAAAAATATCGACATTGATGACCTGAAAAGAATTCAAAGTACAAAAGTATGGTATGGAGAATAGATAAAATAATGATCGATTAAATAAGTTTTATACACATAGTTCCTTTTATTATTTTAAAGAGAATAAGAACAAAGATTGGTGTAGAATAATATGAATTCATTTTATTTCGTCAGGTTCTCATCAGCTGCTTACAATCTATAATATTTAAAATCAACATTATTACATATATTGACATTAGGGTGATTAGAGATGAATATGTGTATCATGTTGTTGTTAACATTTTTCAACAAAGCCCATCCAAATATCCAGTTTACTAAGGAATATGAAAATGAAATTAAGTTTTATTTTCTCGATAAAAAGAAGGAAGGATGACATAGTTTAACGTTCAGTTTATAAGAAAGACACATAGAATGGGATTTATCTCAATTTCGATGGCTTTTTTCCAATCAGTTACAAAAACGCACTTGTTAAAACACTATTCCACAGTACAGAAAGAATATGTACTGTCGATACACTAGAAGAGAAAGTAATGAATGTTAAAAAAGTGTTGAAAGAATAACGGATACACACTGAAATTTATTGAGAAATATGGGAAGCATAAAAACAAAAAAACTCAAAGATACGACAGGAAATAAAAATCTTATTTTTATTCAACTTAAAGGTAATGACATCACAGGGTCTATCAATAGGAGACTATAAAACGCATTGGCTAGAACTTATCCAGCAGCTAAACTGATTTTCTTGTCTAAAACAACATGTTCTCTGACACAATCAATGATTGATAGGTATTACTTTCATGTTACCACCAACTGCGTATGCAAATTCACATGTGTCTGCCAAAGTAGTTATATTAATAGAACAGAAAGTAGAGCTTACGTTCGATTCAAAGAACATACTCCACAAAGCTCAAGGTAAAATGGATTCAGCAGTGCCAACTCAAGACATCTCCTTGACACAGGAAATCAAGTCGATGCACTGAAGTCTTTCAATGTGATTCACAAACAATCAAACTCCAATCTTTTGAAATTCACCAAGACGATAGCGATCAAACGTCCAAAACCAGATCTATGTATCCAAAAGGAGCCAGTAATAAATTTTCCTTTGTCCTGGTAACATTAAACTACTTCTTATTTATTACGTCATCCATTATTTCAACTCTTTCTGACGTTTGATTACAACATCATCACTTTTTTTCAATTCATATCTTTCTTTGTTACCGTTAATCTGTTTTCAGTTGCTTTATTAAACAATCATCCAATATTTGTTAACTCCATGAGTTCTAATTACTATATCAATGTTCTGGAACTTTTACTCCTAAACTTTATTTACCCGAAAAAAGATTTTCTACGACCTTATTAACTCTATTGGAATCCTCGCTACATCATGATACACATATTCATCTTTATTCACCCTCGTATGTGTAAGTATGTCAATATCTATAATAACGTTGTAAGCAGCTGATGAGAATCTAACGAAATAAAATGAATTCATACTATTCTGCACCAATCTTCGTTCTTGCTCTCTTTAAGATTAAATAAGTCATTGTTCTGAAAGAAATGACGAATGTTTAGAACAAAGTTCGTTGCTTTGTAGTGTCCGCACTCAAATTTATAAATGTAAAGAAGTACAATCATTTAACATTACAGAAAAAACATTGACCGATTTTATTTATAAAGAAATTAGACCTTTAACTATTTGCAAACAGATAAATGATAACCCATAGTTCTCAAGGTTTTTAGAAAAATACCTACCATAACTTTTTATTTTGTTTCAATGAAATACTATCAGTATGTCTGTCAGCACGTAGATTACAAAGAAATTACAATAAACTGTACGTGGTAAAACTATGGGCTTCAAATAACTGAGAAGTCTACTGCATAAATAAGCGTATCTACAACTAAAAATTTAATATAAATGAACAATCGATCCAAGATTGTAGGCGAAATGAGTGAAGTCATTAATGTAGCAATGAAAATGAGGGAGTAGCGGAAAATAACTTGACTACAAATTTCAGCATTATTAGATGAAGCAAATAAACATGAATAGTTAGTGAATCTTTTGATACAGCATACACTTTATTAACCCATCATACATTCGATAATAATTAGCAGCCAAGGATTGCAATAACAATAAGGTTGTTATTAGAAGTACGAATTAAAAGTATCATAATGTTAGAAAATAAAAAATGGAAGGTTTCGAAAATCAAAGATTGTATATATAACTCAAGATGATGACATTTTTTGACCATCTAAGTAGCTGTTCAATTAGCTAACTTATGACATTACTAATTAAGTACTTCGCTAACAAACTGGTCAAATAATAGTATAGATGTAGTCGAAAATAAATCCACCAGTTTTCCTGAATTTCGGCATCGTTAGTTAAATTAGACAAATGCATTTTTGGATCTCCGAACATTATCCTGTTCGGTAAGGAAAAGTTGAGATCATCTAGTAGCTCCATTCCGGGTTATCTAATTGATATAAAGTGTCATGTGGACAAAAATAATGTATTGCATAACATCTACCGGATAACATGCCTTTTATAAATAACTGGAGGCATTGGGATACACATTCGAATGTTTTCTTTGTTTAAATAAGAAATTTGTGCAATCACTCTTTTTAAACTCGCCATCTTGATGGCCAAGTTAAACTGCGTTATGTTTTATTACAAGGTACTTTTTTGCTGATAATTTATTATATTATTTCTGTTATCTAAGTTTGTCTGCAAAAGTTTCTGTTTACTTTTTGTTGTTCCATAACTGTGACATTTTCTTAAGTGACAGTTATTAATACTCGATTTCCTATTAAAATTTTGTCAGTGATCGTGTTTTAGGTTATGGTATCTGGACATTGACCGTTTCACCCAACTAATCTTTACATTAGTTTGTTAATCATTTGCAATTATTTTCATAAGCAAATTTAGATTTGTAATATAATCTAAAACCATCGTCTGTTTGGTATCAGTTTAATTATTATTTGTAAACATATATTTTAGTGTAAAGCCATAATGAAGAACTATTTTAAAAAGATTCTTCGCTCTGTTTTCCTTTTTCGTAAAATCGTCGCCGTTTTGACCTGTCATTTCAAATTGTCGGACATCTGGAATATGAATATTTACGCTACATATTTCATATTCAAGTGACATATCTAATGAGAACCGTTATGGACGTCTCTGACAACATATTATTTGGTACATGACTTTTTGTATATATTTTAATCGTTAAGATTATCTAAATGTAGTTTTGACATATATTATCCTCTACATACCCAGAACCCACTTTCTGTCAAACTGTTCATACAAACTTTGACGAGTGTTCATATAAAGCATTCCAATCTAATGTGAAAGTTATTATGGAAGGTTTTCATTCCATGAATGCTAAATAGTTTTTGTTAATATTCCATTAATATTTTACTGAAAACTGACTGTTTAAAGTTCTACTGGATCATGAATTAATGATATTTCAATAAATTATTCTTTGTTTGGTTTATCAAATACTTGATTATTTTGTAAATGTGAAAAGATAATGCTCGCTTTTCGACAACAGCATTTAAAGTATTTTCAACATATATTTATACTCTATTAACACGTTTATGTGTAGGCATAATATAATTTAGAATTTTTAGTGTAGATTGCTATGAGTTTATATTTATATGACAGTTTTACTAAATAGAAAAGTAGGATTCCTAGCTTCATTTACTTGTTAACATGGCTTTCTTTTGACAGATAGTCGACGAGGTTTTTTATACCTAACAAATATTTTGAGTGTATTTTAACATTGATAAACAAAAGTGTGTTAGTCAATTGATTTGCATTGGTTTTTAAATCGTTCACTGATGTTTAAGACTATAATTGACCAGTCTCTTCTAGCATATGTGCATTTTGAGCGGATTGCCTTACGTCACTAACATTATAAACAGAGATGGATGGTGGTTGGTAGTGGAATCCAGGACACGCGTTTTATCCTCTTTGGGAATCATTCTAAATAAAGAGGAAAATATGGACTAATCGGTAAACAAATTATTTTCTCTTTATCCACAAGTGAATGGTTTTTACTCTACTGCAATATTCACGTGATGAAACTATTTAGAGAACTCTACGTTATTGATTACTCTCTTGAATTGTTCTGAAATTACTTTTTCATCCGTTACTTTTTACTAGAGATTTATTTTTTATTTTGCTTTTCTTGACTTTCTCTTCTAATGAACACGTAAACATTGATCAGACATTTTTATTATCTTCCGTTATTTTTATCAAAGTATGATAACAAAATGCCTCATTAAATTTATACCATTTTATGATGTGATGAAAATATTGTCTTGTCTGTCATATTAAACAAACGAAATATGTAATAAAGTAAAGTATGTTTTCACAGTTTATTTGAAATTATTACTACCTTGTGTACCCTTATTTTGCATCATAAAAATGTTATGTCAAAAATATTTTTTCAATCATAATGAAAACAGTATTGTAATTTGATTAGATTAACCTAGTTACTCTGTCGCCTCATTTCAAAGGAGTGATATGGTACAATCAATCGTCATGATTAATATTTGTACATACTAACTGACAATATGTTCTGTTATTACTGACATATGCATAAAAGAGATATTCAGAGAAAAATCTTTTCACATTCTATATGAAACAGAAAATTGCAAAAAAACTATGGATTGAACAAGAATTCATTTGAGTATACGTATACATAGCCATTACTTGAAGTACCTATGTCAACCGAAAAAAAATGTAGAGAATCATAATGTTCAGTATGATAATCAGGAAATACATATTCTGATGAAACATATAACGAGTTAAGTGTTGAATACTGGACTGTTGAATACTAGACTACAATATAAAAATCAGACATTTCAAGCTTTATTTAGTTACGGTTAAAACATATGTGAATGGTAATTAGTTAGCTTTAAGATTTATGAATTTTGAACATACACTTGTATTTTAAGATGTGATATTTAATTCGATTAAACTGTTTAAAATAGGTTGTAAGCAAAATTTGTAACTGTTATTGTGATGATAGTAACTAAATCCTTTAAAATTAATTCTATCAACTATCCAATAATTAGAAAGAATGACCTAATTTTGATCAGATTAGGCAAAAGTCGACTTGTTTATATTTAAAATAATTCGCCTCAAGTTATTGAAATTTTGAAATTTCTATCAGATGTGTTAGCCTGAGGTTAAAAATCCTGATTTATTCTATTTGTGATGTTAATGAAAAGTATGGTAATGAAATAGAGATAGATATAGATCAAACTAATAAAATAAATATTTATGTTAATTAGATGCAATTTCATGTGTTCATATGACAAGCAATTAGGTGTAGGCTAATTAACCTTACTATTTATTTCTTAATATACGAGTTCTATAGTCGAAATCATCCTGGTATTATATCAAAATTTTACGACCTTTACTTCAAGAAGATAGAAATTCGTCACATTTTAACCATAAAATATCAAGTTTCACCTAAAAGAGACGCGATTTTGTAATTAATGATAGAACGAATTTTACTTACATTTTCAAATAGACTTGCTTATATATTTATTCAGAAAGGATACGGGGTTTAATAAAGGTCCACTTTATATTCTAAACAAGATTCCCAATGAGTAAAGTCACGAATATTCTCACTACTTAATATATATATATATATATATTAGATAAAAACACTTCAATTTATACGTTAAGTGAAGTATAAAACGATGAATACATGAACTGATTTAACCGACTAAACATCCAGTTTATTCACCAATATATATATTGACAAATTCATATTCTTATCAGAAGGGGTTTTGTGGAGGTTTCGGTAATTGTATGGTTGAATTCATAAATCAACTGAAGCTAGACTACTGTGGAAAACGTGGAAGCACTAAACAGCGGTTTCATCCCATTGTGGGACTCCTCAGCAGTGCAAATACACGAACCCTTCTCACGGGATTCGAACCCATGACCTATCAGTCTCGCGTGTGAGCGCTTAACCTCTAGACTACTGAGCCGGCATCCAACGGTGTTAAATTCATTTTATACATTCTTATTATTTTATCCAAAAGTAAAAGATTTTATTGTTGAATTTTGTCAATAAATGAAAATAGAAAAAAAAGAAACTGTGAACTAATACATAATTTCAAGCTTCTTAACAATTTATCCAAATTCATTTTTGTAATATAGAAGATATTTTTTCTTAGAATCAGTTTTTATAGTTTAAAAGTCTTCAATTTTATAGAATATTGTTTATAGATAGCAAATATGTTCTTGAATAGGCTAATTGACTACAGTAGTTCATTGTTTAAAGTTTGTATAAGCTTGTACAGCGTTGCTACAATCGTTTATAAAAAATACGGGGTTTCTTCTAACATTTTACAGGGGTAACCTAGTTGATAATTTCAAGGGTAAGATTTATTTACAGTAATTATATGTGATTGTGTATAAATGAGAATGATTTTAAGTCATTTGTCATAGAATGAGATTTAACGGCGAAATCCTATCAAGGAGCAAGATCTAGCACTTTTATAAAGGTGCTGCTTAATTCAAGAAACGGATAATGATCAAGAAAAAAATAATCAAAGTTTATCACTATTGTAAGTTCAAATTAGATAAAACATTATCTGACTCAACTTTATGAGTGTTATTCTGTGAAAAGATTTTATGCAATCGATCGTTATTATCTCACTTAAGTGTTCGTTGTTATGAGTCACTATTGTTTGAAAGCTGTTTTCTTTAACGCTATGAAGTATTATACTTAATGAAAGAAGCAAAGCAAAATTTTCGTACTTGGTAGATTTCAAGTAATTCTTAGTATTTTTTTAACTGTACTGTTTAAAGAATACATACACTTTATCAAAGTATATAGCTTTAATGTATTTTTCACTCACTTTTCTGCTTTTTCACACAGAATATCTGCATCGTTGAGATACTTCATTGTTTGAAGACCTTTAGTTAATTTTGTTGTAGACTCGCTTTGTAATAATAATGACTGAAATTGTTTTTCTTGAAGTGAACTCCAGTGTTCTTGTGGATTCAAGCTGAATGCACGTGGCCTTTTGAAAAGTTTATCAAAGTCTGAATTATCTTCACCTGTTGCCTGTACGATGCTGGGAGGTTTTATTTCATCAGAAATATGGTCACGATCGGTAAAAGTATAGTTTGTACTTTTTTCAAAATTGTTACACATTTGTTGGCTGTGCAATCGTTTATTTCCAGGAAGTTGAATATGTACTAACCTTGGTACCGATTGACGTTGATATTTAGATAAGATATTCAGAGATTCGGACTGCAGAAATCATAAGTGTATATAAAGAAAGCATTTGAAAAATAGACAAAATTAGCAGACATCTTGAATTACAATGTATGTTAATGTCACTATAATAATGGTCTCTCAGTTGAGATTACTATAATTCACTTGTCATTTAACTATTTACTCAAACTACGATGTTTTCTTTTATTTCAATTGAATGTGATCATTTCCATCAGCATTCACTTTAAAAAAACCTGTATATAATTATCATGATCACTATTAACCTAGTTAATAATGACGGAGACCATGAAACAATCTAATTCCCCCCTTTGGGATCAGACTGAGATGGTGATTACTTTTAAACTACTTCATGAAATCGAATGTTATAATGGATTATGATATTTCAGAGTTAGACAATTGTTAGTAATACGTAAAAGAAGAAAAACGAACTATTCTCTGATAACAAGAAAGAATGAAGTGTATAAGATAGCTGAGATCTACTAAAGTATAAACCTGATTGTTATGTTATATTCTAATTAATAAATTTATGTGAAAATATGTCGGCTAACGATTCATTCATTAAAATTTATTCATTATCAAGAGTAAAAAATATTATGTAAACATTTACCATACACTGAAGTGTATGGTAAGCTTCCCCTGTGGTCCTTCCCAGGTTTGCTGCCGGACCCAAGCCTGGATAAAGGAGGAGGTTGGGCATGGGGTTAGCGTCCCCATCCTGTAGAAAACTGACCCGCTAATCAAACGTTAACCAGAAAAGATTAAAAGTATATTAAGTTAATCAATTAAATTAAATTTATTCACTAATACTTAATAAATCTATTATAAAAACTGTAATATATAAAAATATTATAAAATTAATTAAATGATTTAAGCTAATGAATTTACCTGTTGTAGTGTTGATTGTGCAAAATTTTGTGTGCTAGAAAAATTACTTTTACCATATTTTGATATAACATCTTGAACATGTGAAGGTGCACCAACAAGACCACCCATAAAACCTGTAGTTAATGCTGCAATAGATTTTAAGGCATTGTTTGTTTGTTCTTTTGTACATTTTTTATCTAAAGATTAATTAAAATAGTAATTATTGGAAAAAAAATTATTAAAAATTATCTGCTTATATAATAACTAGATGATTCGCAAGAAAAAAATAAACTATTTAAGTTAGTTTATTTCAATAATATTATCTGTTCTTACGTAAAAATTCTTGAAATACAGTTAAACTTAAAGGTAATTAAACTAATTTAAGATAAATATATAAAAATCAGGTTGGGGTTTTTTAATCTTTCTAGAAAAACTCCAACGAGAGTTTTAGATATTTATCTTAAATTAGTTTAACTACCTTAAGTTTAATTGTATTTCAAGAATTTTTTACATTGACTAAATCAGCAAACTGCATCACGAGACAAGTTCTAACTTGGAATCCTAAAGGGAAGCGGAAAAGAGGAAGGCCAAAGAATACATTACGCCGGGAAATAGAATCAGATATGAAAAGAATGAATAACAACTAGAAAGAACTGGAAAGGATTTCCTAGGACATGGTTGGATGGAGAATGCTGGCGGGCGGCTTATGCCTCTCCACGAGGGGTAACAGGTGTATGTAAGTATATAAAAATCTAGTTTTCTTTATCACATAATCGATTGTAACTTTTTAATTTTCAAAATGTATTTTCTAGAACTAATTTTAAAGGCGAGCAGAAAAGTTATCACACTAAATAAAACACTTTTGAATGTAATGAAAAAAATAAATAATGAATAAAATAAATAAATTCATTTAACTAAAATAAGACTCTTTTAACGGATATAAAGCAGGATCACGAATTGAATTTCGATGGTACTTTATCATAATTTGTTCTGTTTGACACAGAATGTATTATTCTATTTGAAAAGTGGCATTTTACCAACAGTGACAAAACGGGATGTCTGATGACACTACTTCATATAAGCTAAACGTCTTACTACTAAACGTTATCTGTGCTCAATTTTTTTTCAAAGGTACAATCGTAGAGAAATAAATTTATTAAAATGTAAGAATCCATTTTGGAAAATGACATGGATTTTCGGTCAACGTTATTGTTGCTGAAACTTAATAAAAACCTGTTGTTAGTAGTATTTTACGGATTAAAAAGATGATAAAAAATTTATCACTAAAAACCATTTTTTTAAAATAATGTGATTCAACTTCGGATTAAAACTTATACCATGTTTTATCCGCTCTGAGATATTCAACCATGTCTTAGATCTAGTTACAATAGAATTAAGAATGAACTTCTAGAGTTTATAATCTTCCATTTATTCGACCTATCTTCTCTAGTGTCTTATTTGCAACTTGGAGCTAAGGATCATGTAAAAAATTATTTTTCTAACAAATCAGGCGTAAAGTTATTAGTATGTCCTAACGATAAGAATAATTCAAATTATCATTAACCATAAATGAAATCAATGTATAGAATTTTATGTTTATGAAAATGATGATGGCATTTATCTTGATAGTAACCTTTGAATAACATTTTAAGTTTGTCACAGTTCCATCATAAGTGGTATTTTCTACAATAAAAGTTGTGAAATAAAGTGACAGGGTAAACATATACATATACATATATACAACTATGTATTACATTTTTTCCAAAAACTACCTTTTCATAAGTTTACAAGAAATACAGGAAGAAGCACCGTTTTGTGATAAAAATTACAAAAGTTTCGCCTATCTACACATTTATGGACCTCCTACTTACTTGTAGTGAAATGTGTGTGGTGATATACTTGTTAAAAATAATAAAAAAAACTCTTTTGAAAATCTGTCTTCCACTTATCTGTCAAATGACAGTAGACTAGTTAATGTGACAGTTATAGGTAATTATGCATAGATATACACTTGCGTATGTTCATATCCATTGTCAGAGATTGGAAGTTTATGCAATAAAGAAGTGATAAAAATAAACCATATCAAAGACTGTAATAATTTTAAAATTATTGAAGAAAATGCCAAAGTGTAAAAATGTTTAAAAGAAAAATGTACTGTTTCGCATCTTTTATTATTTAAGTAAATGACGTAAAAAATGTGCTTGCCAAAATGAACTTAAATCAATCATCATTTGAACCATTTGAAATGTGAAAATATTTTGATCGTTTTGTTCAAATTAAAAACTATATATATATATATATATATATATATGTATATATACATACATGATAGTATTAGCAGTATATATACATCTAACAAAAATAAACATACATAATGGCTTGCATTTGCGTATGGTATCACTGGAAACTCCCATTTCTTTGAGTAAGTTTTCTAGAGCAAGTATGTGTTTCTGTTGCAAAAAGGAAACAAATAAAAGCAGTTTGACATAATTATCACCATTATTTTTGAATATTATTTAATTTGTTTGCCGATAAGTGTGAAAGGAATAAAAATTTTTGAAGTTTAGCTTTCATTCATTTATCAAATTCTTAGAAGTAGCAAAACATGTCAATGATTGTATGGTTTATTATGGATGTCATATATCTTTAACTACAATTCTAAAGTTTAAATATTTTTAGATGGGTTTGAGCTACTTGTTCTACATCAATCATTCACTTGAATAGTGAGTAATAAATATCAGATATTTTAATTTATTACACTGGTTAAATGTATAAAACTCATCATATAAAATAAAGGGTACAGTCAAAAGTTAACCATATATGGTTGAAAAAAAAACACCTAACAGATGTCATAATGACATTTTTCAACAATATAGTGAATCATTGCAAGTCATCAGCATTAAAGTTCACTTATCACTTGACATCTAAAGTTCATTAGTTTGAGAAAAACATTTTCCCCCTCGTTTACGGATATGTTTGCAGATTTTTTAATCAATTTATAACATAACCATTCCAGATATACACTATTTTAAAATCTAAAAAATCTAAAAGCACCTTATAAACGTTAATTTGTTTAGGTTCTTCGATAACTACTTTTAAAAGCGCAATCCGTAAAAAAACAGTTTAAGTCTGTTAGTTTGAGACAAAGGAATGAAATATTAGTTTATGCATTATGTTTCACGATTCAACAAATAAGCGCTGTACAAAACATTTTGCCAGTAGATATGTTTACTGATGTAAAGACATGTACGTGGGTGAATAAACGAGCAATTGACTGTTATTTCTTTTTGATAGTTTGAAGGGTGTGTATAGATAAGTTAAAAGAAGGAAAACCTTTTAGTGTGTGTTTCGATAATTTCTTGAAATGTTGTAGATATTTAGAGTAAAAACACACTTATTAGAAGAAATTAAGATGGTAAACTTTGTATGATGAGTGTTCATTGTGTAATTAACAAAACTGTAATATCTTTAAGTTATGTTACAAAAGATAGGAATGTTTTCGGTAAAATTACGAAATTAATAATAGTTTAACTAATGTTTAAGTCATGAGTCAATTGAAGCTAGAAAACCATGAAAAACCTGGGAGCACTAGATGACCGTTTCGTCCAATCGTGGGATTCCTCAGCAGTGCACCTCCACGATCCCGTCTCGTGAGTAACCAGTGGAGTTCAACCAGGTCTGTTGGGAGATATCAACTCACTGAAGACATTGGTGAATGGTTACTCAATTTCGTAGATTGGTTGAAGTTAGACATTAACACCATTGGATGCCGGCCATCTCAGTGGTCTATCGGTTAAGTTCTCGCGCGCGAGACTGATAGGTTCTGGGTTGGAATCTCGTGAGGCGGGATCGTTGATGTGCCCTGCTAAGGAGTCCCACAATAGGACGGAACGGCCGTCCAGTGCTTCCGGGTTTTCCATGGTGGTCTAGCTTCAACTGACTCATGATTTCAACTATATAAAATTACCAAAATCTCCACAAAACCCCCTTCTGATAAAGTTTAGGTCATAAATTCATGAAGTGGTTAGAAAATATAGGAAGTGATAACTGAATACGTACTTCGGTATATTAGTTAAGCAATAACTCCTGCTATCATTGCATAGAGATAATACAATCTGATCATGATTGAGGTGTGCACATTCAGAAATCTAAAGTTTTGATTCCATAAGAAGAATCCAAGCTCAATTCGGAATAAATACTTCCAGAAATTAATGCTTGATCATATTCACAGTAGGTACTATCCATTTGAAAAGCACGGTAAATGTGAAATGATTGAGGGCCTAATGTATAGTTAAAAATCGATTTTAGTAAGTGATTCCATGATGCTTCTAGCAATGGTTTAGTTTAAATAGTTAGTCATTAGGAAATCTTTAAATAAGTTATTTGATATATGTTCGGTTAATTTAAAAGTAGTAAGTTTTCAACATTATTCATCAACTACTAATAATAAAGTCTCCAGAGGCAAATTTGAGGAATCGATATAGTCCGAACAATAATGATGATCAGCATCGAACTGTACGATCAGCTACATCACTACTTCCTTGGAAAATCTAAAGCTGTTAACGAGGATTAACTACCGATTCTAGTCAGGAGAGCGTAACTTTCGTCATTCACCAAAAGAATTTCGTTTTTTCGAGTCAAATAAATAGTATCTTACGTTTGAGGTAGCCAACCTTTACAAAACTTAAAAATCTCCATTGAAATAGAAAGATACTTGCATGTAAAATAAGTTCATTTTGATTGATAAGTTTATGGACAATAAATCAATATCAAATGAGATGCGCTGATTTAAAGAACTATCATAATGGTAGTAACATTATGAGATAAATATTTCAAGTTAGATTTTATGAACGATTTTAAAGTCAATTATTTCATAAGTTTCGATCTCAGTAGAGTTCTGATACCGGTTTATTTGAATAGTTCACTCGGTTAATAAAGATTATGAAACCTCTTGATTTTCCTGCTTGAAAGTAGTTTTCTTAGAAATGCAAGTGAAGATAGCAATGTTTTCCGTTAACAGAATTAACGTTTCTTACAAAAGACTTATTTACTTATATTCCTACTCTACACAGTTTATCAAATCGCAATAACTGTCAGTTATAATCTAACAACGATATAATCAGACCTTTAATCCATATAAATTCTTTTGATCATTTTGGGGACTGCTGTATAATTCACCGTTTTCACCGATCACCTTACCCGAAACACTAGAACTTAAGTAATTTTTATGATTTGTTAACTCCATCTGTAATTCACCATCAAAGTAAGGTTTAACTTTTTAACTCACTGAATGAATAAATATTCTTGTTTCACAAGCAGTCAACTGCAACACGAATCATTGCGTGACTGTCGCAAAACATTTAGTCAGAGTCGATGTACCTACCCCGAAGAAAATGGTAGAATAAACCTGATTCGTCTTGAACAGCGGGTTGATGATAACTGTCTGAAAACTAAGAGCTCTTTATATACATAAATATAATTTTAGTCAGTAGTTATATGGAAATTGTTACTTTGCATGAACAAGGTTTCCAAGTGGTTCTCATCATGTCTTGAATCCATAAATTGAGTGAATCTTCTCAAAATTAATATGATCAACACTAGTTAACAGTTAATAAAATATATAAGAATAATGTACTAACAACATTCATTCCACTGATTTTATTCCATATATTCTTCCTATAAGTCTTTAGTTTTGAAACTATTACATGGTACAGTTTTCAAAACAGATTTTCCCTACAAATCTTATAACTTTAGACAAATTGTATCCAGTAAAAGATGGACAAGTTATGTCAGTGACTAATTTATAAATTGTGGTACCATAAACACCTATTTCTTTTATTAATGGGAGTGAGAATAAAAAAAACATTCGTATTTTATCATCTCATTTTATTTTGCTTAATATAATATTCAAATATGATCAACTATTATTTGCAATATGCTAATTAAGTGTGAAAAGAAATTCAGAACTGTGATATGTCCTGAAAATGTAACAATAAACAATAATAAAAAAACACTTTTACCAACACATTTTGTTTTCTGAATTTTCAAAAGATCTATTCACTAATAAATGAAAGTAATCAAATTAGTTTATTGTTTTTAGATAAACAATAATCTTGGAAACAATTAAGTGAAAATAAAAATTTGTTTTGTAAAGTAGGAACATAGTAAATTACACATATTATATCCATAATTTCTTGATTACCTTAAAGGGACATTCATAATAAGAACAAATATTATATATGAATGAATATTCTTTGAGTGAACTACTAGTTATATCAACAAATATCTACCGAATACTAATAGTTGTCAGTAGGTATCATTACCAAGTTTTGATTTGATAATTTCAAATAATTGAAAGCGTGAGTCAATTGAAGCTAGACCACCAGGGAAAACCTGGAAGCACTGAACAGCCATTTCGTCTTATTGTGGGACTCCTTAACTATGAAAACACTATATCTCCACAAAAAACTTCTGACAATAGTTTCGAACAAATTGAGAATTGGGTAGACTGCTATAAATAAATAATATATTTGTAATATCCCAATGAGTAAAAAAATTAGATTTTCTGACGTTTTTCATGACTTAGTGTAGGCCACTTCTTCAGAGAATAAATAGCTAATGTCGGAAAATCTAATTTTTTTACTCATTAGGATACTAGAAATATACTATTTATTTATAATAGTTGTCAATATTTATTAGTTATTTTTTAAATGTTAAAAGTAGTTAACTCCTACAATAATGAATTGGTCAATATGGAATGTGTACATTTCAAGAAAGTTTCAGTCATTACAGGTCTACAAAAGAGTTACCTGAGCAAATGGTTTTGAAATATGTAATGGTGAGTAAAATATTATGTTCAGTTTATTAACAATTAACTTTCATTAAACCTGAAGAGGTTTGAATTTAAGAAAACAGTGGTTACTTCTTATATTGTTCATTTTATAATAAATGTCTTGTTTTTTAATTAAAAGTATACTTGGTTTGTTTTATTTCACTCACTGATAAAGAAAATAAATGGAAATTTGTATTTAGAATAGATGGGAATAATAATGTTGAAATATGAAACAATAATCTTCGTAACCACTACTGATACGTATATATGTACCACCGGGATTACTGAAGAACGTTGGCAGTGTCGTAATAAAGTTTATCTGGTAAATATACATGATATTTATAGATGGCTATTATAAATGCAAATTAGTGTTAAATTTATAATAAGGTTGTAGTACATTAAAGGATAACCTATAGTAGAAACATGAAATAACAAAAAAAATTGTATACTTTTCATCTCAATTCAAGTTGTTGGTAAATATGCATATAATAATCAGTTTTGCCTAATGCATCGATTTTTAATTATCTTGTTTGTGTTCTTTGGAACAGAATAGTGTAGTATTATTTCTTTATTGGCTTCACTATGGATACTCATGATTATCCCTGTAAGTTCGGAGCT